TTTAATTTCATCGCTATTTTTTAATATTGATTTTTATAATAATTTTAGAAATGTATCTATTGGACATATATATTTGATAACATTAGTTCCTAAATTTGATTGAGATAATTAGAATACTTTTGGATATTCGTATTATTTAAGGGGGGGGGGGGTGTGCCTATTCTAAAGTCAAAATATAGTATAATTTATAATATCAATTTATACTTTTTATCTTTTATTAATTAATAAAGTTTAATAATTATTATTAAGGATAATTTATCTCAATGAGGGTCTGAACCCCAATGATGACTTGGAAAATTTAATAAATGATCTAAGAAAATCATTTGGGCTGATTTGTGTGCGTTGTTGTGCCCATACAATTCAATTAGGGGTTAATGATTTTATAAAAAAATTTATTAAGGAGGACCTAGATGAAATAAGATCGATTCTTAAATTATTTAAATCACAAAAATATAAAAATTTATATACACTAGAAAAAGTTAATAAACCAGTGTTGGACACTGTCACTAGGTGGAATAGCTATAGAATGCTAAAAAATCTGAATGATAATATAATTTTTTACATTAAAATGGGGCAAATATATTCTGAAACATTTATTAATTCGCGACTGTGGGATAGAATTCAAACATATCTCACAGTATTATCGCCGGCTAATACATGTACAATAAAATTACAAGAAAAATCTTGTACCATAGGGGATTTTTTTAAACTCTGGCTGGAATGCAAATTAGATTTAGAGGAAATCAATAACCAATTCTTTAATGATTTGATAAAATGTTTGGATAACCGTCAGAAATATTTATTCGATAATAATGTATTTAGAAGTGGGATCTACATGGATCCCAGATTTAATTATCAAAATGGAATCTATCCATCTGAATACGATAAATTACAGGCTAGGGTAAATTTATAATATTTGACTTTAAATTAAATATAAAAAAATTTATTTTAGGACCATCTGATGTCTACGTGGAGACAAATTCAAATCTTTAATAAGCCAAAAGACAATCAATCTCTGATTGGCTCTCCTGTTATTCCTATCAGTTCTAAAAAACACAAGGCTGGATTTATATTTGGAGCGAGAAAGCGCGAATGCTCCAATATACCAAAATATTGAAAGTATCGATATGAAGACCAAAATAAATGGTTTAATATATGGCCAAAAATTGCCATCTGATCAAAATATTTTGCAGTATTGGCAATCCAAAAAATATCAAGATCCTGAATTATATACCCTCTCTCGAGTAGTTCTAGCTGCTCCTTGTTCTCAAGTGTCGGTTGAAAGATCCTTCAGTGCCCTAGGATTGATCGTAACGCCTTTACGAACCAGATTGGACAAATCTACTTTAAACGATATTTTATTAATCAAGCTTAATAAAAATTTATTAAACAACGTTATATTTTGATTTTTATTTATATAAAATATTTATTTGAATATTTGTAATTAAAAATTTTATATCATGTCTTATTTTTTATTTGAATAAATAAAAAAATTATTTTAATGAAATTTTATTTTTACAAGGTGAAGGGATACTAATTTTAAAATGACAATTAATTTAAACACAAAATAAAATATTTATATATATAGGATGTAAGGCTTAACCAAAACTTTTGAAATACTAAAAAAATCAAAATTAATTTTACTTTAGACACATACTTGTTTTAAGTAGGCCTACAAAAAAACAAATTGAATCGAATAATACTATTATTCGTATTCGATTCGAAAATACGAATCGAATAATTGCGTTATTAGTATTCGTACGAATAATAAAATCATTATTCGTTGCGATTCGTCGAATATTCGATTCGAAAATTTTGCTAAAGCTTATAAAAAAAATATATAATTTTTTGCAAAAAAAATTATAAACAGATATGTTTCAAGATGACACTTATAAGGAAACTAATTTTCATTAGCATATAACAATTTACAGAAAATAAACGAAATAAAACCTAGTGATTTCATATAACGTTATCCAAACAAATTGGCCAAAAACGTCCGATTTTTAGAATTAGAAATGCTTATAAAAAATGTTTAAATTATTTCTTAAAATATTCAAATTTTATTAAAATTTTTTAAAAATGTACAATAATCTCATTTTATAAACATCAAAATATAATACACAAAAATATAATTATAGTATATACGAATTTGATAAACACTTTGGCTCGGCATGCTATTAATAATATGACCTAACCTAAACCTCGCCAATTCGCTGATAGATGTCCAAACTTTTGTGCCATCTATATAATTGACTGGATTTGCCGTTTTTAAAATATTTTTAAAAGAAATAGAAAGATTTAAAAATGCTTTGAGTTAGAGTATATAAAGTAAAAAAAATTAATTATCAAATAAGAGGTAAATTATTCATAAATTTTGAAGTATATCTCTTAGAAGAAAAAATTATTTGGTAAACTATTTAAAAAAATAACTAATGACAAATATATCATATCATTCTGATTTTATTGGTGGTTTTTATGACATTTCCTAGACATCTTGGGAAAGTGTTAATTTTGTTTTACTTTTATTTTTAAAATCGCAACTTGCTTTTATATCGTTGTAAATAGTAAAAGCATGACTTTTACTTAATATTAAAGTGTTGTTAATTGGTTGGTTGTATAAAACCAGACCCGGGGTTTGGGTCTAAAAAATCGACCAAACCAGCTCTGAGCACAGACCCGGGGTTCAGACCCTCATTAAGATAAATTATCCTTAATAATAATTATTAAACTTTATTAATTAATAAAAGATAAAAGTATAAATTGATATTATAAATTATACTATATTTTGACTTTAGAATAGGCACATCCCCCTTCCCCCTTAAATAATACGAATATCCAAAAGTATTCTAATTATCTCAATCAAATTTAGGAACTAATATTATCAAATATATATGTCCAATAGATACATTTCTAAAATTATTTAAAAAATCAATATTAAAAAATAGCGATGAAATTAAAAGAAAGTTAGCACCTCATTCTGAACTAGTAGTAAGGGGAATTGGCATAGCGATACTAATTTATTAAGCCAGGGTATGCTGACACACTTTCTAAGAAAGTTTCCAAGACCCATAGACCGGTCTGTTTTTTTGATTCCTTTTTTTCAATACCGGAAATTATTTTTAAAACTCACAAAAAAAAAAGATTTATATTTTGATTTAAAAATATTAAAAAAAATGAAATAAAAATTTATTACTGGATATATAAAATGCAAATGTGTTATCTTAAACATAGTAATTACTTATTAATTAGCGAGAGGAAAATATATTATAATAATGTATTATAGTGATCTGCATAGGGCCTAATTTTTCAAGCCCAACCCAAATTAAAAAAAATGTTTTCCGGCTCGAACCCGATTAAAAAAATTTTACCAGCACAGCCAGCAAAAATTAATTTTTTATAATTATTCATATATTTATATTTATTTTAAAAAATTTCCAAGGCACTACCCGACCTGGCCGGAATTTTTAAAATTTTTTTTTAGAACCCACAAAGCCCAAACCCAATTTTTTTAAAATATGGGTTTAGCACATCTTTACTATTATATAATATGCAACACTACCTACACTCTCATTACCCAATTTTTTTAAAATATGGGTTTAGCACATCTTTACTATTATATAATATGCAACACTACCTACACTCTCATTGGAAACAGTTATAATTTTATTTTTTTTAAAAAATTTCGAAAGAAAAGGAAGCTTTTCAATAAATTTTTAAATATTTTTTAAAAATTATTTCACTAACTCTTAATCAAAATAAATATTCTTGTAGGCACTCTTTTTTTAATATTTTGCAATCTAATAATAAAGCCATCAAAAATTTTAGAAACATGCTGTGTCAATATTTTTTTTTAAAAAAATTTATTTTTTTCTTTCATCAAGGCAGGAGGAGAGGTATAAAACATTAAAGAAATATTATATTAATAAAATTGAAAAACATCTGGATAAAGGGGTAAAAATATAAATATCATGAAGATCTTTGAAGATCGTTACACAAAATTTTTAAAAAATAAAAGATCTTCAAATTTTACGATCTTCAAAGATCTAGATCTTTTAAGATCGTTGCTCAAATTTTTTTATAAATAAAAGATCTTCAAATACGATCTTCAAAGATCTTGCTCAAATTTTTGAGCTAGATCTCGCTCAAAAATCTTCAAAGAAGATCTTTTGTACAACTCTGCTTAGAGTATATAAATTAAGGTCAAACAAAAAATTCTGCACTTATATTTTAGTATGATTTATTAAAAATTAAATTAACATCTATAAGTCTTCTAACGGAGATTATTCTATCATTTCATGAAACTATTAAAAAATATATATCTCTATAATTTAATTTTCTTTTCATTAACTATTATATTTATTTGGGTAAATTTAAATTATGATTATTTTGAAGTATATTATGAAAAAAATTTAATTCTAATTTTAACCTATAATTTATTAATATTAAGATATAACTTACCTATCCGTCCGTGATATATAGCGCATATGCCCTCTAACGTTGAATAAACACATTTCCATCTAATTGGAACATAAGTTAATTGGGGTGTAAAGTTTAAAAAAATAAAATATGAGGAGCCCTCTACACGTTTGTGGGCAAGCCGCACGTACTTGTATGCGCAACATTTCGAAAAATGTTACAGACGTCCATGGGCTTTAAGAAAAAGAGCGGAGCAGAAATAGAGCCTATGCCCAAGAATTGCAGTATATTACTTTAAGGGGGGGGGGGGGGTTGTGGCTGATTTTATATTTAATTTTTTTTAAATTAAAGCCGTGAATTCATACTATCAAAAAAAAATTTAAAGAGCATATTAATTCCATTTCGGTTTGTTCTGAAGTCCTGAAAAGGTTTAGAAAATACTAGTTGAGATTAACGTTATAAATTTTAATCAAGCCCAGATATTTTTCATTTAAAATATTTACCTTTAATTCTGAAGAGTTTCTTGATCGAATTTTTACAGTTGTTTAACTTGATATATCCATTCTTAATTTTGTTTCACCGACTACAGATGTTGGGTATGTGATTCTATCCTCTAACACCTGATTTTAAAATTAGCATAATTTGCATAACGTTTAAAATTATTATCAATCATTTTCATACCAAGGGTATAATTATGAAAAAAATTATATCGACAGTAAATGCCCCTAAACCTATAGCACCCTATGAGTTAATTAAATTATATATATATTTAACCTTTATTAAGACAAGGTGTGATTGTAGATAACAAGATTTACCTTTCTGGTCAAATAGGTATTGATCCCAAAACCTCAGAATTAGTATTAGGTGGAATTGATATGGAAACTAAACAAGTTATATACATTTAGATTTATCTTAAAAACAGAGAATAGGTTATGAAAAATATTAAAGCAATTTTGGAAGAAGCTAATTCAGATATGAACAATAGTATTTATTAAGTTATTTAAAATCCTTAAAACTTTATTCAGTAATTAAAGCAACTATTATGCTTGCAAATATAAATGATATGGGTAAAGTTAATGAAATATATCAATCATGTAAGCTTTTCACAAACATGTATTATAAAAATTAATTTAATCTAGATTTTCAAAAAGGTGCATACCCTGCTAGATCTGCTTTTCAAGTGGCAGCTTTACCAAAACAAGCTTTAATTGAAATAGAAATAATAGCAATATCAAAATAATAGAATTATGTTTAAATAATATTCATTTATGTTTATAATAAATTATATACATATATTAAATTTATAAAAAATCATCATCATCTTGTGTCAAAGCAAGTAATATATTTTCAGGAATATAATCTGATATTGATTGTTGTTTACATGGTAAATGTGTTTTATCTATAAATATATCTGATTTAATACTTTTATTTATATCTTCCAATATAGGTGATGTTATATTATTTAAACATTTTGCTGACTTTCTTATAGTAGATGAATAGTAATCATTTTTATTATCTTTACTATATTTTTTGATAAATTTTGAAGCTACATTATTTTTATTAATTGGGGAAGATCTTCTAAGGTCTGAAAGTTGAAGCTTTTTAGATTGCAATAATTTGGGAATAACAATAGGGTCAGCATCCTTATGAATTTGAGAACTAGTAGCTTTGTGGTAATTGTCTGTTATTTGTGTTAAAGATGATATGAAATTTGGGTCATTAAAAAAATCTTCATCATTATCTTCAAATATAGGTGATTTTAAATTATTTATACTTGAATAATTATCATTTCTAGTAATTTTGATAGATTTATTATTGCATACATTACGATCAATAAGTGAACAAGGTGTACGATCATTTTCTTTAGATATAGTATGATTTTTATTAACTAAGGAAGATTTTGTAGTGAATGATAATTGAGGCTTTTGTAGTTTAGAGGATTTATGAATAAAGATAGAGCCATTATGGCTTGGTATCTGATATTTCGAAACTTCTTGAAATAATTTTGAGGGTGGAGTTCTAAATTTCTTTTTATTGTTATCATATAAATTATCTATTTGAGTCAATGAGGCTATAAAGTTTGGGTCATTAAAAAAATCATCATTTAAGCCTGAATCATCCCAAGTCAATGGAGATTCTTGATCTTTGATGTTGGCAATTTTTATTTTTGGAGATTTGCTTTTTTCATTTATTGATAAATTTTTGTCTTATTAAAAAATAAAAATTAATAAATTTAAAATGTGTATTAAATATTGTTAAAAATATAAAGTGGGTTAAGCTTAAGCATGCTACTCCATATAATAAATGGTTATAATCAGAGGGAGGCAAAAAATATTACAAGTTTTGCAGGATGTATTATGTTATAACAAAGCCTCTGTAACCATTATATCTGATGAATCACTTAATGTAAGACTTGTTTTTGTTACTTTATAAATTTTAACCTTTATTTTCAAAATTATAAAAGGGTTAGATTCAAAAATGAAAGTTTATACTGTATTTTGTTCAACTTTTAAAAGGAGGCCAATGAATATGATATTAAAGAAAAAAAGAAATGGCTTTAGGGAAAGAAATAAGCTTATATATAATAAAATTAACACTTTTTATTTAGGCTAACCATAAACCAAAAGCAATTTAGGCAACATTGCTTGTCAACGCAAATATTCGTAACTGTTAATAATTGCAATTTCTGGGCTGTATATTTTAAAAAGTTATTTTTATCTATAAAAATTAGAAATAAGTGTAAAAAAATATGGCCTGAAAATATAAAACCTGGGCTGGGCCAAAAATTTTTTTAAAAAAATCTGGACTGGGTGGTGCAACTGGTACCTCTAGAGGTCTCTGATATTATAAAAGTAAGTACAATAAAAGGACACAATTGTTTTTCACAATTAAATATTTTTTTATAATGACATTTATTATTATTTATATTGGATATGTAAAAAAATTTTTTATATTTTTTTTAATAATGTGCAAAACACAAGATGAGATGGCAGAATGCAATATAACCATTTATAAAAGTTTTTAAAAAAGGGTTAAAATTTATAAATACAAAACATCATATTATTCCCAGAAATATTTTCAAAAGGAATGTAACTGTGTAACATACTACCTATAACCTGATACTAATTATAACTTTCACCCCAACCCTGGATATAAATAAATATCAGATATATATTGATATGTTTATATCAAAGGTATTATTAAATTACTTAGCCATGCAAATTGTGTCAGGTTTGAAGTCAAGAAAAATGACCACAACTTGATCAGGTTGATTGAGTCAGTAATAGGAAAAAAAGCTCCAGATAGAAACCCTGTGAAAAAAAACCTCCAGAAACCCCCATATAAATTACAAAAAATTTTTTTTTAAATCAAATTTAACACTCATAAATAAAATTTTTAGAAATTCTCTCATATAATATTGAATTTTTTCCATGAGACTTCTTCAAATAGAAAATCAAAGAGTTGTGAGGAAATATTAGGGATGCTCTATCATAATAATATAAGGGGGTAGAGTGAAAAGTAAAAGAAGTTGTAAAATTAGATAAAAGCATTCAGTCACACATGTTATCAGAAGTGTCAATAAAAAGAACTCTAAAAATCATAAGGCAAAGCACAACTCTTCAAATCTTGAGAATTTCGAAGGCCTAATTGAAGGTATTAGTTCAAATATAATTATATTTTCATAAAAATATAAATATTATATGTGGTTGGACAAATTGTGGTTCCCAGAACTCAAAAAGATTATTATTTTATAATGGCTAACATGTAGAAGAACGTATAATCATGTTTACAATAGATAAACGAATAATATAATAGAAAACTTGACAGCATGTTATATGGATGGAAATATTGTCATGTCTTCAAAAAATTTTGTCACTAGAGTATTCATTTTCATCAAAGCTGTTTATTGTGTTCTCCAAAAAAATAAAATAATTATGAAAAAATATTCAAAATAATAATATCTAAATATTAGGAAGGAAATTTATTTCCTGATTCATTATATAAATACAATTTTTTCAAAAACCTGCTATGATAGTAAAACTATCATTGGCATGATTATCAGTATTATTTTTTAGTTAAGGGGTCACATAGTAATTAGAGGATGCAAAGTACCCATAGAAAAATTCAGAAGACAAGTCTGGAAAGCTAATACAGAACCAATAAAACTCCAAGTTTCTTTTGTGGCATGCGGCTCAGCATTTATTTTCTTATGTGATTGACATTTCTGAGATTGGTTAATCTGAACAATGGTAAAGATATTCTTGATTATTTCGATAAAATTTATATCAATGGAGGTTGAAAGAGGTAATTGAAACCTGGAACATGAATCAGAGCAATTAATCAATGTGAAGGATGGAATCATCGTTTTCCTATCTGGTTGGAAATAAATACCCATCAATCTGGGTAATTATTTAAAAAAATGAAATGTGCTGATGAAATCAAACTTCAACAATGACATGAAGGTAGATGGACCCTGAGACTAAATCCCAGTTATAATACCAAGATTTGGTTAAGAAAACTTTGCAAAGAATACTGTGATGTGGTGCAAAGTCTTCCAGATTTTATAATAAAGATTTCTTTCAATATTCGATGTCAACCTAAATTAATATTATATTAAATTTGTATATACTAATGATGATTCATCAACAAAAAATATATACAATTACAAAATTTAGTCTACTTAATATTGTATATAGATGGATATTGTATTTATTATGATAACTAATTTTTACAAAAATAAGAAATATATTGGTTATTTTATGGTATTTCCCCCAGTACCACTTTGAACATCACCATACATTTTTTATGGAGGTTATTTGTAACCTTCAAATAATAGAGTTATTAATTTTTTTTTAGCTTATTAATAAAATATATTTTCATAATATTTTTTTTGACTTAAATATTATATTTGCAATATTATAATTAAAATCCTAATTTATCTATAACTAATTAAAATAAGTGAAAATTAGGTCTTCAATAAAATTGAATAAAACAAAAAAATTATGGGGGTTCTAGGGATTCGATGTTCAACAGTCCAACCCATCAGTTTGGCTTAATGAGTCATTTAGAGGAGTTAAATGGTTTTTAATATAAAAATGCTATAAATAAAATGTTTTACTATGATAAAAGTTTTTAATATCTGATAGGAGTTTTATGAACTTTCTTTCTAGGAAGAAAGGGTACAGTAATAGTGCACACAAATTGAATATGTCAACGCTGTGTTACAAAACGCAAATAATGCATTTTAAGTGCATTTGTTTAAATTGAGTACATTTGCGTTTTATATTTTAAATTATTGATATGCGTTTTAAAACGCTGCGTTAAAATGTTCAATTTGTACACACTATAAGAAGTTGATTCTGCCATTAATTTTTGCTGGAGAAAGGAAATAATATAGGATTTCCAATCCAAATCATAAGGTTGGCTCATTGAATTTGTTCAAGCCCTCCTATTTGAAACCAACTTTTTAGCAATATAACTAGTTTAAATCATGACAATTTACTATAGAAAATTTTAGTTTTTATGTGAAAAAACCCAGAATTTATACAATTAATTTTTAAATAAGGAGAAGAATTATTAAAAAAGAATTAAAAAAAATAATATAATATTTTTTGGGTTTTTTATGTAAAAAATTATCACAAAAATGTCATTATCAGCCAGTGGTATACAAACTTAAGTTATGATTAATAAGAAGTTTTTTTAAAAATAAAACCTATAAGTCAATCTTCTGTATATAATATATTGAGCTTAAATGATTCAAATATATAAATAAAAAATGAAACTTATGGCTATTTAAATAAATATATTTCAATAATGATATCTAATTTTAACTATTAATTATACTTTCTTTTAAGAATTTCAATAGCTCAGCAGTTTTCTTCATTCTAATATCTGTATTCTTTCTTCTTCTCACATTTTTTCTAAGTGATCCAAAAATTAAATGTATATATATTATAATTTACTTAGTATCATCTATTTTAATGTCATCTAATAAAGTCCTCACACAGGGATTTGTGTTAATTGCATCAATTTGCGTCTAATAAATATTTAATATATGAATGATTAATATTAAATATACATTGCACTTTGCATAGACCAGTGAAACTTCTTTCAAGTCATCATTAAAGATGCCTTTATTTTTTTCTTTAATAATTATTATAAATTAAAATATTCATTAAATACCTAATAAATTTTTAATATGAGAAGGAGATGGCGATTGATTGTCCCATATAATATTTGGAACTGCTTGCGATGGAGTTGAATAAGAAAATGGGCTTTCATTCTAAAAAAATAAGATTTAGCATTATTATCTGATCATTATAAATTTACATTGTGCTTGTATGCATATAAATGAGCTCTTTTGGGTGTTTCATACATTTTTTTTCCGATTGAATCAGAAAGATAATGTTTATATGTCAGCTTTTACTGGCATGCAATTTAATGTCAATTGACAGGTGACAGTTATTTCAAGAAAAATAAAAACTTCATTTCTATTATTTTTATTCTAGGTATAAACTTTGTTTGTCTTCAGTAGAGATCTCAAGACCTCCGGAATTTAAAAAAAATTAGTACCAGCAGGGTTGGGAAAATAATTTAACAGACGGAAAATTTGTGCATAAAAATAATTTGAGCCGGGCCAGACAATTTAAAAGACATCGTGTAATAAATTATTAAAATATTATTTTTAGATATTATAAATAAAATATTATTTTTAGATATTATATATAAAAATAGAATGGAACATTCGAAAATTAATTAATAAAAATTTGATTGAAATAAATTGAAATATAAATTAGTAGTCGAATTGTTTATAGTAGTAATACGACTACTAATTTATAAACAATACGACTAATAAATTATATTTTAATTTATTTCAAACATCAAATTTATATTAATTAATTTTCGAATGCTCCATTCTATTTTTATATATAATATCTATAAATTATATTTTATTAATTTATTACACATCGGGTCTTAGAAAATATCTGATTTTTGGTAATATTTTAATAGACTAGCACGGGATATAAATAAATTTAATTATCTCACCTACCATACAAGATAAGCAAACTATTTATTGCACCAAATAGACCATATAACAGCTGATCGGTATATATCCATCTTTTACGAATTCGATATTTCGGATACGTTACCCTCCGACAGCTTATAAAAAAATATGAAATGCTTTTCTTCATATTTGTTCTTTACTAAATTAATTACTGCTCCAAATCTACCCAAAAAAGTATTATTTATTGTACTTTTAATAAGTTTGTATGTAATCTACACATTATTATCTAAAGAAAATTTGGGTTACATATACTTTAACATAATAAATTATTACAATCCAAATTATATTTTACTAAATCAGACTTTAGAAAAAAGTATTTTTTCTAATCATTATTTTGATGAAACAAAATTTAAACAAATAAAATTTAACTTTACTGCTAATGATGTTTTAGTATTAATTCATATTCAAAAAACTGGGGGGACTTTTTTTGAAAATAAATTAACTCATCATTCTGCTATCAATTTCCCATGTAAATGTTACCATATAAAGAAAACTGTGTGTTCATGTCCAAGATTTATTTCTTTCAATAAAAATATATTGAATGAGGCACATATTACTAATTACAAAAAGTTAGATGATGATATAGAGGTAGATGATGATATATTTGAGGAAAACCAGAAATACAATGATATCAATATTAGCAGTATAGATTTAGAATCATACCCATCTAAAATCAATTCAAAAAATGATAATGAACTAAAAAATTTGTTACCTCTTGCTGATCACCATTCTAGATCTAAAAATAGAGACATGTGGCTGTTTGCAAGATCAACATACTCTTGGAAAGCTTGTGGGTTACATGCTACTTGGACAGATTTAAATGAATGTGTACCAATGATTGTGGAAAACAAAACAAAGAAGGAAAAATTTACAAAAAAGTAAAATTCTCAAATAATATTTTGTTCCCAAATACCCCAAATTGAAACAAAATTCTACATCTAATACTTATTTATATCTAAATATTTTTAAATTAGTCAAATTTGAGTTTTATTGATTCTATTAATTCATGTGGTCTAGAATAAAAAGTTAACATATTAAGCCAAATCTTTTTTTAGAAGAAATATATTAAAATTAACCCTCAAACAAGATTATTGTTGTTACGGCTTGATTTAGCCAATTTAAAAATGGCAAATTAATATTTTGGCTAAAATATTATTAACGCCTCAAGATCATCTTAATAGATGTCCAAGCCTTTCCACCATATATAGGCAATAGGCTTATATAATATTCTTGGTTAAAATCTTGAGTTAGCCATTTTTTATAAATTGCTTCGAGCTATTTAACAACACTAAATGGGAGCAGGAAGGCCTAGAGGGAAAAACTGTTGGATTCCTAGCTGAAAAATTTTTTACACATGGTTTTTAGAAATTTTATTTATAATCTTATGGCATTTGAAAATTTTACCCCATATACTTATTTTTTTTAGGTTTTTCTGAATTAGTGTCATTCCATATCAAATCAATCACTTTACAATCCATCTCAGATTTTGTTGAAATTTGATATATAAGTTAATAAGGTGTTGTAATTGATGTATCCAAAATATTAGCCTTTTAACTCTATTAGAACTGAAGATATAAGGTCTCAAAGTAGCTCTGCTTAGTCATTTTTGAAAAAAATGTCATAATTTTAATATTAGATGCATTATATATCTAATCTGACTCATTTTATAGCCCTTAGTAAACTTGTGATGTATTTTGTATAAAATTAATTTTTAGTACATATTCCATTCCATATCAAATCAATTGAAGATTCAATTTGATCCTCTTCGATTTTTTTTAAAAATTTGAATGATGGTATATGGCCAAAATCTTTAATAAATATCATTTATATTAAAATACATATAATAATTTTTTCAAATTTTTAAAATAAAAAGAAAACTTAAAGTTTAGACATATAAAAAAATAGGTGGGTGGGCATTGTTGATAATTCCCTGGATATTAATTCTCGCATAATTATACAAATCATTGATTATAAGGACGTTGCAGGCTTGCTCTAATGGCTAACCTCTTAGTAATTCTTACTAAATTATTGCGCAAATCTGATTTTTTAGGATTTTATTTTAAATGCTATAATTCACATATACTGTGACTTTAAAAAAAAATAAATTACTATATATTTGGTATAATACAGAATTTAAGCCATACTACTTATAATTAAGTGTAATAACTCTTGGCCCAGTACTTGTCTATATTTAGGATTTGTACAAATATTAGGAAGTATAGTAAAAAAAAAATTTGAAAGAAAAAAAGAGCAACATTTTCGGGTTTGCTAATAAACTTATTTTTAATAAAGGGCTATTCTAGAGCTATTTAATAAAATATTTTTTTTTAGCCTAATTATTTTTTGAGACATTTTAAATTAAATATAGTGTATTTTAGAATTTTCTAGTAAGCAAAATTTTACATTTTATTAGTTATTGTATATGTTAGTGTCAATATGTTTTTCCGGCAATGTATTTTTTTCAACTTTAAATCGTTTTTTTGAATTTAAAATTTTGAATCTGAAAATGTATTCCAGCATGTTTAGAATAGCTATCTTATGAATTGTAGATAATTTTACCTATAACTATTAAGCCATTTATGATTTATATAAAAAAAATTAATGGAAAAATATAAATTATATTAAGTTCAAAAGTTCAAGGCAAAATTATCTGAAATTCATAGGGTAGGTATTCCAAACACAATGGAATACCTTTTCGGTAAAATCAGATTTTTAAATTCAAAAAAAATAAGCTCAAAATATGGTTTAAAGTTGAAAAAATAACACATTGACGCCATATATACTACCTACATTCAAATTTTTTAAAAAAGTCTAATTTTAGTTGATTTAATATGGAATACAAAATTTTTTTCCCTCCAGTTGGCGCTAAATTCACTTGCTGGCATAAGTTAATATCAATTTTAATAATATAGATTAATCTAAAAAAACATAATAAAATATTTATTGAATAATATAGTAAGCATATAATATAAATGTTTAAAATTAAATTTCCTTGATTTTAATTTTATATAGATCCATAACAGATTCATTATTATTTAAAGTGTAAGTTTATTCCCCTGGCTGTCAAGGGGTGAAACGATAGTGGCAATATCATTTTTCGGGATATTAGAATATCCGGTATCGATGGATAATAAAAGGATTGAGAAGGTCATTTTTTGAATGTAAAAAAAACAACCTTCTTTCAGCATCGCTAGTAATATTGAATATATGCTGCCTTACCATTCACTTTCATAAGAACATGTTACATGCCCTTTAATTTAAATCTAGGATTGTGGCAAACAGTTTTTAATCATCCAGATTCCTCTAAAGGCGAATATTATAAAAGTATCTGTCCTATATTTAGAAAGTCTAATTGTACCACTCGATTTATGATTCTACGAAAAAATAATAAACCATCGATTTTTATTGTTTAAATCGCAACCCCATTAAAAAGTTGAAGATGCCACAGGATATGAGTTCTTGGTAGCAAGATTATCTGAATTTTTTTATAATATAGAAATTTCTAAGAAGAATCAGACATTTAAGTATTTAAATGTGGAAAGAGATAGGAAAAATAGACAGCACCAATTTTTCTAAAAGGTTTTAATGAATATTAATAATTTTAAAGTTGCTAGAAAATACCGCATAATTATCAATCAAAAGGGTTATTTACAATATGTGCTATAGAAAAAATCGTTTTAGCTCCATGAAAAGGGTCAGTCAAATTCGGGAAACAATGAGTGATGCGAAACTGGCATACAAATACTTGGAATAATTAGCTCCGACAACCATTGTCCTGTCAGAATCAGTTCTTTTTTATCGCTGTCGAAGATATTGATAGCCCTCTTCAAAGAAATTTATTATAAGCGATTAATTCGATGCTCTTATATTTTTTTAAAATATAGTATTTAAAAATATGCAACTCATTTCAATTATTAATAATGATTGTTTCATGACATTTATTGCTTATTTATAAAATTTCGCAATAGCTTAATGAACAATAGAAGGAGGTATCCTTCAGAAAGGTAGGAGTAGGTTCCTAAGGTGGGTGGGAGGTTAATAAAATATAAGTCTATAAAGTTAATATAGGGCACAAATTTTTCTCTCCAGGGAGACACTGATTACATAATATAAGAGTTGAAATTCGCATGGACCCTCTTTTTAAAGGCTATTTAAATTTAATTGTCGAATTTTCTATTATTTAAAAAAAAATAGCTACTTATACGCAACTATCCTGAGGGAACCCGTTACTAGATACATGAGCGAATTTTATCACGTTAAACGCGGGGGCACTTGGAAAAAATCTCCCCATAAATGCGGTGGCAAATTTTACTCCTTACCTACCTGTTACGATTCAAAAGGCCCTAAATCTGATTGGTCCCACGCCAATATGGAAGAATTTATGAGTTGCCCTTACAATCTGGCCCACAACCGGCAAACGCTTCATTTGGCCGATTTGGAATCGGTGGGATGTTACCAGTTAAGATAAATAAATGATTGTTTTATACATCACATTTTATTTTCTCCCGCTAATTTTCAAATTTTATATATTTAAAATCAGAATTAACAAAAAGGTAAATTAAATTTAATTGAACACTTTTTATTTGTAAGATTGTGGTATGATAATTTAATTAATTTACAATTTGAATTAGTAAAATTTTGATTTATTTATAAAAACGATTATTTAGGGTATATTTATCAGAGACCTGCAGACCCGTATTAAAGCCATGACCGAAACACAAAAATAATCTGATTTTAAAAATGAGCCCGACCTGCCAAAAAATCGGGTCGGGTTACGGGCTGATTTTAAAAAAAAAATAATTGGAAGGGGCCTAGCTTGAAAATATAGAATTAAGGTTGTTTTTATTTTCGAATATTACAAAATATAATATTATAGTTGCTAAAGAATCTTAGCCGCAAAGTTGCGCAATATTTTATATAATATGTGAATGATATTCAAATTTGACGATTTTATTGATAAAATTTTAATTTCCAATAACCATAAGGTTATATAGTATTTCATATTTTTTAAATTATTTCATATATTTATTACAGTTTCAATCTACCCCCAAAGTAGCCCAATATTTTTAATACAATGTAGCATTTAATTTAAATATTCTTATCATTCAAAACTGACTAACTTTATATTATTGGTTTAGCTAACCACATATTTTTTTAAGCATTACATAAATGCATTATATGGGGTTAAATGCTTAACCGGCAAATTATATTTAAAAGTAAATGGGAGATAAGGTTGGATCGATGTGTTTAATTAAGAAAAAATATGCCTTAATAAGAAATCATATAAATTTTTGACAAAAAAAAATTATCTTCAAATGTTTTCCTTTGTAAATTTAGTGTATAATCTCTTTCTTTTTTCAAAAAAAATTTTTTTTATTAGCAAAATCTTTCCCCCAGAGTTGTCAACGTCTGATTCGATGTCTGCTTCAAAAATCCATCTGGCATTGTTAAATAGCGCCAAGAAAAACTTGAGGGATAATCTGGCATTTTTTGGACTTCTCGAACATCTCCCCGAAACTCAATATTTGATCGGCAAGATGTTGGGAATCCACTTTAAGACTTCCTTCGATTCTGCAAGGGAAAATTACTCGAGGAAAAACAAGAGATTGACGCTGAAAAAGCTGACCTACGATTATAAATTGTCCAACGCTACCCTGCGAAAGATAGCGCGTGTCAATTATTTAGATATAGAACTATATCGTTTCGCCAAAAAATTGTTTTTTGAGAGGATCGAATATTTTAAAAAAGGAATAGAGCGGGAAAGGGAAAATTATTAATTATTATAGAAAAATCTCACATGTTTTGGGGGAAGATGGAGCATTATTTAATATAGGCTACCAATCCTGCTTTCAAGTATTAAACTCTCAAAGGGTGGGGGGGGGATGGATATTTTTATTTCCCAATGATAAGGATTTGTATCTATTCGACATACCCCCAATTACTCTAAAAAAATAGATAGGATGATAAGTAGCCCATGTTAGGTACCTGAATTATATTTCCCTATAGACATTGTTGCAAAAATCTACGGCCCAATATTTATAAAGAATTCAATATAAGTATTATACTATATAAATATTATTTACACAGGATATCTAGTTATTAGCTTTTTTGATAGACACTTCTAAGATTCTAAAAAAAATATATGTTAAATTAATTTTTAAATATACCTCCCTAAAGGATCTTAATTTTTTTGTTACATATCAAAAATTATTAACAATCGTGGTATTTATAGTCAGCTTTACATTTACTTTTTATACATTCAAATTTTGCATTTAATTTATTATAGATGTACATTTATTTGATGCCCTATTTGGTCAATATAACGTTTTAATCTCATAATTATATATAATATATAGATAACATTATATTTTTATTGAATTTTTTTTAAAATAATTATCAAAAACCGTACAAAGTTCGCCGTATAACATATTTATGATGAATAGTTTTAAAATAATTTATAAAATATTATTTAAGAAGTTACATAATTATTTTTTTTTATCATAAGAATTGAGATTTTTAAATTGAATTAGTTGACAAAACTAAAGAAAATATAAGTTACAAATAGATTAAATAAAAATTATCCAGAGAGTTTATGAATAACAAAAAGTATTATGATATATAAATCAGAGATATTATAACAGAGCTTTTTTTCGCCGATATTAATGTTTAATAAATACCCACAAATTAAAGATTTATATAGAATTATTAGCCTAGGTTTTTAAAATTTCTCATTATTCTCCAAAATATTTTACATTTCCTACGTTTCATTAAATAATTAATTAATATTATGGAAATTGGATTCAGGAAATTTCTTTTCAATATTATCAATTTGATATAATTTTTTATCTCTAAAATAATTTGTACCTCTGAAATAAATTTTATGCTTATATTTATTTAATAAATAATTATTCTTTTGTTGATTGAAACAATTTATAGAATATTTAAGTTAACGATTCGCTTTAACATCTAACATTTCTCCCCTCGTAAAAAAAATCGTAGCTGCACCCTCCGCAATAATTAGTAACACAATTAGCTAAAGGATGCCTTGGGCACTTTTTGTGCAGACATGGAGAAACGATACAATTAACTACGAGCACCCCTAGTGGGCACCTAGGAGATTTTTTTTTTGTTGAATCAATTTGGTCAACAGATTGAATATCTAGGGAATTAATATATATAATATATATATTTAATTCAAACAAGATATTTTTTTAAATAAACCTTTTACGACTAAGAATACTAGTATGAGCAGTAAGAGTGATTTAACTAGGTGGCACTTCATGGCAAATTGATACTAATGATTTCAAATATATTTAAAAGAATAAATGTTATATTTAAAAAAATCGAATTTTTATAATAATAGCAATTTAATTTTTTTTAAGAGATCTGGATAAAAAATAAATAAATATAAAATTGATAATACAACCTTGAATGAAAAATATTAAATAATTTACCCTTATTTATTTGAATATAAATAACAGATTAGAATCAAATAAATATTCGATAAATTAACATTTATATGAGGGGAATCGGGAGATTTTTTTCACTCGATATTAAAAATTAAACACTTGAGCGCTGCACTACGCTTAGCTACGTTTGCGCTCTCAATAGCAGACTCGTTGGTATAGCTTCACAGGGCAAAATATTTAAGATGATATTAAGTTTAGGGCTAAAAATTGCTAGGATAAAAGTATATAGTAGGCTAGCGAGTAAATAAAAATAGTGGGTATTTTATTTATGCATATGTGTAAAATATTTTTCATTGTGTCTTAAATTAGAATAATTATATATGTCAATAGTGTAATAAACAATTCATCTACTTGTAATATTGAGTAGTAATTTATATGTATAAAGTTATGTTAGTTTTGATAAAGTATTAATATTAATTATAACTTTACTTTAAAAATTTTCTAGATGATATAACCAAGACTTCCAATTTTTAACGAATTTTGTTTTATCGGATTAGAGCCTTTTCCCAAATTTTTAATCACCACATAAGATGAATTATCTGCATGGTTCACGACACCATTTTTTGTGTTCTTTCCAAAAAAGACATATATATATATATTTAAAAGAACTGCAGACGCGGTCCGGAACGGAATAAAAAATGGCATTTTTTAAAAATCCAAATTAAAATTTTGAAAATTTAGGTCAGGCATAAAAAGTAAAAAAAAAATTAAAAATTCGCTTTTTAAATAAATTAAAATTATGTCAATTTGTAAGAAAAATTTAAAACAAAACCTATTCAGAATTTCTCAATTATTATTTCGATTTTTTATAATAAGAATAGGTACTTAAATTTTGTATAAAATCTTTATATCTTTCGCAATAAGTGTTATTAATAATAGCTTTCCGTTAAAAAAAATGGGCAAATCCTATGTAATTAATCCGACAATCTCCAATTGAAAATAATGTTAAAAGCGTCATATTGGATGTGGATATCATAAATTAGATTTGCTGAGGTATTAATACTTTTTATTTAAATTGGAGTAAATCAAATTGTTAATTTAAAAAATAAATAGGCATTTATTTTAAAAAATGTTGAATAAAATTTTTCTATACATTTAATGCTAAAAATATATTTAAAAGAGATGAATTTATTGAGAAAATAACATATTTTATTGTAAATTGGTTGTCAAATAAAAATTAATCAGTTTCAACAATAAAAGAGCGAGCCAAGTGACCCGTGGTCTGATCTGAGAAATAGTTGTAGTTAATATACATTTTATTAATTTATTCTTTTACCGTAATTTGATCCAAGAAATAGGATTGAGACCAAATATATAATAAATTAACTGTTTCAAGGTTTTAAAAATTTCGATAAAAAAGTGGTTATATTGTCCATAATTAATATATTTTTTTATTGTATAGCTTTGTAAGTTTAAGTAAAAATACATTAGTATTGTAAAAGTGTACACCAACCAATAAAATCATTTTTATACATCTAGTGGAGCGGGTTAAATTTTAAAAACCATAAACGGGTGATCAGGGAAAATTAAAACGATTGACTAGCAGGCTCTCGGGTTGAAGACCTGCCAATTGCAGAACTTCTGACATCAATAGAAATATTATTGAACTCGAGATTGAGAAATCCTCTTGAATCATTTTAATCGCTAATATGAGTGGATTTTTATTAGCTAACTCATGCGTTATAATAATGCATTCATGTGTAATGATGGGGGTTTTTAATTTTAATTCATCTTTTCAAAAAATAACTCTTTTTATATTCACAATTTTTTGATAGTTGGTTATACTTTTATAATAAATTAACACCTCTTAGATTTCTTTTGTAAAAAGCTAGCGACGCCATAGGTAATTTTATTAAAATTCCCTAATAATAAAAGTGCGGAACCAAGGTCCAAGAATTCATTAAAAGGCAGGTACTAATTACACTAATAGAGTAGTAAAAATTTATATTTTATTTTAATTTATATGTATCAAAGCCTGCAGAGGTACCATTTGCACGGCTTGACCTGGCCCGTTTTTTAAGCAAAATTTTTGGCCAGCCCATAATTTTTTAAAAATATATTTAATTTATTTTTAATTTTTATAGCTAATGGTAGCGATTTTAAAATATACGGCTCGGTCCGGGTATTTTTTAAAAAAATATTTAGGCCCGGCCTGGGTATTTAAAAAAAATTTCTATTGCTGCCTGCAGATCTCTAATATACATCTTGCATTCAGTTGGCTCGTTAGCCTTTACAATCTCACATGGGACTCAAAAATTTTTAAGTAAGAAAAATTTTTTAAATTTTTTTGGGAGCTCTTCAAATTGGAAGGGGGGGGGGAGGCTTGAGCCCCTTTGCGTTACCACCTCCCCTAGCTTATTCAAAAAATACATAATAATATATTTCTTCAATGATTTTTAAATTCAAAAAAAATATGATTGGTAATAAATAATGATTTTTTTAATACAAAAAATATTTAATTATCAAGGAAATATATTATCTGCAAACACTATACTATACAATTAATATTTTTACAAAACCAATTTTTTTTAAAATTCTATCAGTTAATTAATTCAAAATATAATAGAAGCGAATAGTTTCTTGCTTATATCTTAATCTTCCTTTTAAATCATTTATAAAATATCAAAATAATTCAAAAATAACTAAATTTTAACAATTCCATTGCTCATTTTTCAATTTTATAAAACTTTTATCTGGTTGATTTTAAACTTATTTTAGTAATTAATTTTGGATAATTTGTCTATACAATTTTATCTTTACCGGTGTATTTTTTAAATATGCATGCCCATTTTCTATCTAAATAGCAATCCCACCAACAACTAAGAAAATCTTTCATTTGGGATTTTGCTTGTATAGTATCTTTCCCAACAAATATATAGAGGAAATTTATTTTTTAAAATTAAAAAATTATTTATTTACTAGCCAGTGTATATATTAGGTATTTTCTTCACTTATTAATTTCAGTTTTTAAAGTATTTATTTCAAAAATAAACAAATGCTCCCAAAAAAATTTTCTATCTTAAGCAAGATATCTAAATCGATGTTTTTTAAATTTAACCTTTTTGGGAACTCAATTTTAATTTTTTTAATATATATTTTCATTATTATTTACTAATATAATATTTTTTTTTTAAATTTCTTTATAATATATTTAAATTTTACTATCTTTTCAATTATTTTTTAGATTTATCTTTAACTAAATAAAGTTTTATAATAATTAAAAAATTTGGAATTGAAAATTTTATTTTAAAAATTTTAAATAAAGTTAAACGAGTTTTATAATAATTATATTTACAAAGATATGCAGTTTAAATTCCCTGACTTAATGATGTATCGACCTTTGTTAAAAATATAAAATATTAATATAATTGAATGAGAACGGTCTCTTTCACAATTTACTTCGCTTCGCGAGCACTAATATAAAATGAATAATTACTATTCCTGGTTAAATGCCAGAAATATTTTAAATTTATAAAATTATCTCTCTTTTATCATAAGACATCTAAAACTTTAATGATATGATTTATGCTTCCATTTGAATTAATAAAATTTGAAGGTTAATTAGGCAATAAATCTCTGTTTTTAGTTTTGTATACACAAATTTTCACTCTTAACATCATTCTTTTTCTTTTTGAAATTCAAATGCAAACCCTTATTTTGGTAGCTTTTGTAATTCTAACGCTGCTTCTGGGGATCAATACTGAGACTGAGACCAGGATTTGGATTACGAAAAATTCAAGTGAATTAAATTATTTATATTTTATATCTTTTAAAATGTTTATTATTTCTTTTAGATACTTGTATTTTAGATCTAGGTGGAATGAGATACACATTTCACCCGGGACAACAAATTACACATCCAACCCGATGTATGGGATGCACATGTCAAAAAAAAGGCTCTGATTCTCATTATAGTTGCCAAGGGTATATAAATTATATAGTTATTATTTTACTTTTTATCATTTAAATAATCTTAGTATATGCAAGGCAATAGATATTACTAATCCTAAATGCAAATTAGTTGCAAAAGAAGATCTGGCGTATCCTAAGTGTTGCCTACATTTGGTTTGTAGTTAATATTTTTATCAATGATTTTATCAAATTTTAAAACATTAAAAGCATATTATATGTATTTAAAAAAAAATGATTGTATTTGATTTGTGTATATTAAAATATTAAACTCTTTAATAAAAATTATGCAACGTGTCATTATAATTTAAATAAATCATTTATCTTTTCTGCCTAAACTTTGTATCTGTAATTAGATGCCTTTTTTCAAAAGTATCTGGTTTACTATGAGTTAGAAAAAGAATTAATCTTGGCTGAGCCCTGTAATTATCTATTTTTTTTAGCAAAAACTAGAATTTATATACTTTCTCGTATTTTATTATTGACTCGTTGTTATCAACTATCTCAAAATTCATTTCCATGTCTAACTCTTTGATGGGGCTATATTTTAAATTAGCTTGATAAATTAGATCCATAAAGTAGATTTTGAAATATAAATTTTGAAAATTCGATTAAATATATAGATTTATCATTAAAATTAATTTTAAATATATTTTTTTATAATATATATTTATTATTTAAAATTTTAAAGTAGGGCTCTATTTAAGCTACTCTCTAAATAAAAAAAAAAGGCAGTATTTTCAATTCCGATGCCCAAAATAATAATTAACCCTTTAAAAAAGTTTACGGTCTTTTTAGATCTAATGGAAAACGTCCAGACGACTCAAATTACTTGGAAAAGAGGTCAATATCTAATTTGGGACTATTCCTATATAGATCCCCTAGTCCCTACAAATTTTAACACTATATCAAAGAGGTCTAAAATAAATAAATATTTGGAAATATTTAATAAACGCATTTTTATACCTATAATCTCCTTTACATTAGCCACATTTGGGTGAAGTGCTTTAACCTTCTTCAAAGAACTCGGTTCACATATCCGTAAAATTACCGATGATGTATGGGAAGGTTTTTATCTTAACCTTGTGCAAAGACTTTCCATCGTAATTCATAAATACAATTACATCAGTTTCATGGGAAGCCTCCTTCTCAAGGAGCTAACTTAATTTAAAATCCTTTTTATTTATATTTTTGTTGTATATAATTATTATACTAACATTTATATAGTTTTTATATTTATTATAACTTGTTTTGATTCGTATTAATTAAAATTAAAGAAATTTTAAAATTTTAATAATAAACTTGTCACAAAATATAATCAAAATGTTATTTTTTACAACAAATCATATTGTTACTGTAATAAATTAAAGAAAGAGCTTGTTAAATTTTTTTCCATCTTTTAAAACCGAATTAATTTTTTTATAAAAAACTATAATACAAAAAAAATATTTTTATGGTAATTTTATAAGCTTTGAAAAATCTCATATTTCCTTTCAAACTCATTTTAAAAAAACACATGGTATCCAGCAGAGTTGTTAAAATATCTAGATATAAAAATGTCCTATCTGTATCTATATACATTTTTATAAAAAGTATCGGTATCTCTATCTAGATATTATTTTAGAGGTATCTGTATCTGTTTTTAGATACTTTTAAGATACATTTTGATATACTTTTATTTAACTCTTTTTTTATCTTAAAAATAAAAGTATTTGAATGCAAAATTCCTTTTTTCTCATATGAGCATATAATTTAAATAAATATATGTTAAAAAAATATTTAGAATACTTATTAAATATTATTTTTTCCCATTTAAATGTATAGATATCAGTTCAAGACTGTGGAGGATATTTTTATCATGTAAAGGAATATATAAATTCTTGCTTAGCCATGAAGCCCACTAATTATTGAAAACAATACCATTCATGCACAAAATTATTTTGAGCAAATAAAATTTATTTAGAATTTTTTAAAGAATTTTATAGATATTCCGCTAATTTTTAATGAAGAAATTATAAGTTTAATGTAAAAACTTTTTTTAAAATAAATTCTCGTTTAAAATGAGATTTTGCTCTGTCGAGAGAAGAAGCCATCATTGATTCTTCGGTGAATTCCGGGTGTGAGAGGAGCCTAGTTATTTGAAGAAATAATAAAGATTGATACCTTATATTGGGCATATTTAGAAAAGAATCAAATATTTAATTCGAATCAAATAGTAACGAATATGAATAATGAATTATCCGTCTACCCCTTCCTCCTCTCCTTTATTATATTTTGAATTTTTTTAAAGAAAGTGTTCATTGGAACTATATTTTTTAAGGAAAATATATTATTTTGTTAAAATAATAACTAAAAGCTTTATCCTATATTAAAAATTCTCGGATACTTTGACAAATTTTATTATACTATCGTCTCTAATGAAATGGAAACTTTATTCTCTTATTCTATTTAATAAAAAAAATACTATTTATAAATGTGTAAATATTACATATAACCATTCTTTAAAATATATTCGGAGACAAGGAAAAATTTCTTCTTCAGAAATATGAAATACCCTCCTTAGCTCCCTCCCCACCTCTTGTTCCCCCAAAAATATATGCATTAATATTATATTTTCAACAAACTAATAAAAAAATATTTTTTATTTGTTCTAGGTGCTTATTTTTTGATACAATCTCTAGGTATCGTAAATTTTAAATAATAATAATTGTTTTTAATAAAATTAACCTCCTATCCTATAGAAAATATTTTCTAACTATATAAGACTAAGGAAACCCGGCCGAAGGCTGGCCAAAAGTGATATGGGGGCGAAGCTCTCCTGGCTACGCTTATGTGATCAATAAAAATATATTATACAAAAAACACGACACATTTTTTATCAATGATATTTTTATAATTTATTATAATATTATATAATAAATACAATGGTTATATTTTAACAGAATATTTTCATTGTTTACTAAAATCTATCTAATTTATTTATTTTAATAAAAATAATATATAAATATTCATTTTTCAAATCTTAGCGGGTAAATAAGTTGATTGCCCCTATCCCAACTGTAAAGACTCTTATCTCTTGAATTGTAACTTAGCATAGTAGTCTTTTGATAAGGATTGTCGAATGGTATGATTAAATATATCTTTTTTTAGATTATAAATATAATATATCAAAATTGAAGTCACGTAGTTAACACTTAAATGCAGTATCTCCTTTCAAACACTTAGTGTCTCTTGTCATTTTTAAAAAAAATAGTCGCCATATGTTTGAAAAATGACACTGTAATTAAAATATGATATATATATAATTGACATTGACTATATGTACAAGAGCTGCCCGAACTAATTCGAATCCCACAAGCAGACATTTTCTCTGACCTCGTCAAAATTTTAAATTAATTTATATCCCTAAATGTTTTTTAATAAATATTATTTTCAGGAACAACCATAAAATTGTTTATATTATCTTTCGGCGTTTAAAAATTTTTCCTTTTAGAATATCATCATTTTTCACTGTCCACTAAAAAAATTGGATCTATTTCTAAAATAAAATATAGGGCTCGAATTTTTTTAAAAAAAATAAAAGGTCAGGTGGTTGGGATTTGAATCGGTGCTTTTAACCAGAGTTCTTAAACTCTACTTTTAAAAGTAGCGCGCTACCGCTATCGCTATTTGTCAATAAAAGTAGCTCGCTATTAGCTACTATTTTTTAAAAGTAGCTTAAGCTACTTTTTATATAAAAAATTTATAAACAAATTTTTATTTTTTGCTTATAATGTTATTGTATAGTAAATATATAAAAATCAACATTTATAAATATTAAAATATAGTTAGTTTTGATTTATTAAAAATATAAACAATTAAATTAATTAAGGTAATATAAAAATATAAAGAATGTATTAATTAAAAAAAATATATAATAATTAATATTTGTATATATATTTATATACATATAAAAAAAAAACATTTAAAAAAAATAAATAAATATAGTATTGGAGGATATGTTTGTGACGGTGTAAAAAAAAATAAAAAAATATTGAGTTTAGGAAGGATAATCTTGTGGGAAGAGATTGCCTATGAAGCTAATATAATTAGCCTTGTGTATTGCGATGGCGAGCCTTTGCCTTAAGAAGAAGCCCTCGCGTGGTTCACCGGTTAGTTGACGAATGTGGGAGCCGAGTTCCTTGAAAAAGGATAAGGCATATTTCCCAAAAGTAGTAAGGGTAGTGGAAATAATAGGGATGAAAATATATTCTTGAGAGATTTCGGTTCGCTATTTTGAGTGTCTCCTTTTTCTCGAGTATATTGACTGTTTTATTTGATGGAGCGAGTGGATCAATGCAGGAGTAGTCCCAGACCAGGAATTGACCGCGCTTCCAAGGAATTTGCGAAATACCGTCAGGCCGTTTCCCATCAAATCTGAAAAGACGGTTCAAGAGTGGAGGGGATTTGAGCAGATCTAAGAGCTCTAAGAATGATCCAATTGCATAGATTATGTCTTACAATTCGACCTTTACATGAGCGACAGTCTTCCATTGCCCAAAACTGCGGAGCCGCAACCTGAACATATGTGGGGTTGGGTAATAAGGCAATTTAATCGGATACCGATTGCGTGTGTGAGCTCGTTTTTATTTAGTTGTAATTGCAGATTAATAGACGGAATGGCCTCGAGGAACTCATGGCCTGAACCATTAAGCAAAGAAGAGAATAAGGGACGGTCAGATAATTGCATTCTGGAAAGGAGTGATTCAACGCAGAGTGCAATAATAGGCCTATCCCAGTCCTTCTGCTTATTAGATTCAGGAAGAGGGTGATCCGCTGAAATTCGTGTCCTCCATTCGATAATTGCATCATTAAAAGAAGAGTCGGGTTTTAAAGAATTGGGATTTATTATGTTTTTAGTTATTAGGCAACTGGATATAAAGGCCGTTAAGGCGAGATCGGATGGAGATCTGAGGCCCAGACCTCCCATCTTTGTGGGTAAAGAAGCTTGTGTCCAAGCAATTTCATCGAATTTAAGATTTAGAATGTTTTCGATAAGGATTTTGATCCCATTATCATAAACTCCAAGTGGAATGGGGAATTTAAATATGGCGGTTGAGCGAAGTGCGTAAAGAATACGGGGAATATTGAAAAAATTTTTCACCAGGAAAAAGGCTTTAAGAAGGAAGAAGGGAAAATAAATCTGTCAGTTCTAATAAAGTATCCAAAGTGGACTGAAGAAAGAAAGAAATAGCAGAGTTACTACCAACAGGGGCTCCCAGATGATAGAGGCCGTCAAGAGTCGTTAGTTTAAATTTGTTAGTATTAGGGATAGTATTGATAGGGATAAATTCTGATTTCTCTGGATTAATGGAGAGTCCTATAGCTGATCCGGTCTCCTTGATGATGTTCACGGCTTTATTGACTTCAACATTGGATCCTCCAAGGATACCATCATCAATGTACCAGGAATGCAAGGATAATGAACCGAATTAATGGATTTAATGATGTCATTAATACCTAAACAAAAGAATAGGGAACCTAGGGGGTCTCCCTGCTGAATGCCCTAGACGGAAGGATTTTATAGGTATCAAACAGAAGAGTGGAGGTCTCTTGTTAACACGAGTAAAAAAACTTAGTGTAACTGGGAAAAAGATTACTTGAGGAACTCAAAAAGGAGTTCCGGGAGAGTGTGTTGTAAGCATTAGAGAAGTCAATTTTTATCAAGGATTCATTAGAAGGTAAATTTTCAAGATATAATCTGGACAAATGTACAACAGCTTCACAGCCACCGGGAATTCCGACACCAAGTTGGAAGGGACTTAGGAGACGTGAAGCATCATGCTTAATTCGAGATGATATCATCTTGGCTACTAATCAACGAAAGGTAGTGAAGTGGAACAGAATTTTCTGGGGGGATAATCAAAGTATTGGTAAGGCAAAAAGGAACGTGGCCAGAGTGTGAGCATCTGAGTGAAGGGAGGATCATGGACTTGTAAGCATCCATTTTGTGATGATGACATACAGGGGATGGTAAATTAAGTATTCATGTAGTAGAAAAAATTAATTTGACTCATACAATAACTATAGGCCAGCAACAATTTTGAAAAAAGAGGTTATTATTCATTATTTTGAATAAATTCATTAATAATGATAAAAATTCAGGAGAACTTTTTGGAGTAGTAAAAATTATAAATGCATTGAAAACAATATACATTTTTAAATAAGAAAAATCAAATACTAAATTCTTGAAAGAAGAAATTAAAATTGGAAAAATTGAAATATAAATACTTTTTGAGTAATTGGTTATTTTAAAATTATGTAGGTATGATAATAAATGAATGATTCATGTTGTTAATATAATTGTTTAGATTTCATATATAGCTATAGGAAGGATCCTAAAAATACTAGAATATAATCTTATAAACAGCTGATTGTGAATAAAGAGCTAAATTGCTAGTTTGGGAGAGAAAGATCCAAGGACATTATTGCAGCATGGTATGAATATGATCAAGGACTGATGGTTGTTTAGATACTATATTACTATTTTATTTATAGCCTTATAAAAAGCTGATTGTGAATACAAGACTAAAGACTTGGTACATGGATATAAAAAAATTTATGTACTAAAAATAAATATTTATGGTAATTTGTTGCATTTTAATAATAAAATCATTTCAATATTATCATCCCCAAGTCTAGAGCGACTACCAGAAAGTATAAGTTTGGCCTTATTAAATAATCTCTCGACACTAGCACTTGAGGGTAAAATCGTATTTAATCTTATATACATATTTTTTATATAAGATATATTATCAATAATTTTATTTGCAAGTACATCGTATGTCTGGCATCCTATTATCATTTTGAGAGCTAATGCCACCGATCTTCTTTTTGAAGTTCTAGGGTCTAGCCAATAGCCTGTGATTCCCAAATAAGCTCAAAAATATTTAATCAGATCAATTTATAAATATAAACAAGTTTTTACTTTCTGTTATGTGTTCAACTATCTCCCCTGGTGCATATATATGATATCTCTGATAACTCTACTATTAGAGCATCTTTCATCATTTTAAAGTTATCTGCTATTTTATTCATTAGTGTCTGGTGGCATAATAGAGTTTTAATCATCATGGTAAATGATGGATTATCAACTAAGGACATTGGATGAACTGTATAAATTATAAAATCAACAATAACTTTATCAGCCAATTTCTGATGTCATTTACATTATTAATTAATTTGGTTTGAATTGAATTAGTCTTTTTGTATGTAGAGTCGCTTATACCAAAATTATTTAGATGTTTCTCCATTTTCTTAAAACTCATGAACAGTCTTATAAAATAAATATTATTAGAATGTAATAATGACAATTTATTACTGGATTGATTTGAGGAAATATATTTTTTACATTCTAAACAAATAAATTTGAAACCAGTTTTGGTTATATATTTATTTAAAAAATTTTCAAATCTAGGGAATGGGAAATTTGTATTATAGCTATTAAGAATATTTTCTTCCCTGGTATCTTCCATTTCATTAATATCATTGTCTTAATCACTTTCAACGATTTGGATATCCATAGGCGATGACATTTTAAATTATTAACACGTGATTTAGGTTTATAATACAAATGAAAATATAAATAACAAATTGAAATTATATTTCAATTTCAAAATTAAATAATAAATCATAAAAATTATAATTAATTATGATATTATATTTAAATTTTCATGTTTACACTAAACTTCATTATATTATTTTAAAAGTAGCGAAGTAGCGGCTACTTAGCTACTTTCACAAAAAAAGTAGCGCGCTATAAAATTAAATAATTACAAAAAAAGTAGCCGCTATTAGCTATAGTTACCAAAAAAGTTAGCACGCTACTTTAACAACTCTGCTTTTAACATTTTAACTTAAGGCCCTTTAAAAAGAGCCTAACGGTGACTAGATCTAGAATATGAGAGCCGAAGTAAGATTATTATTTACTAGATAAAGAGTAAGAATATGAATTCATGAATACTTTGAATAAAAAATATATGTAAGTCACATGCCTGTTCATTTTCATAAAGATCGTAAGCGAAATCGATAACAGTGTGTTCAATTTCTGCGTTTTTCAAGCCGTATATAATCCCGCAAATCATAAAAGCGTTACCCACGAATCGATATTTCAATGTTATGTTCCACATTTTCAGTATTTCGAACGGAGTTTCGTAATTTTGAACAAAGGGAATCGTTGGTGGGCCGATTGTCTTTATATATTGAGCTGGCTGTGTTTGCCTAGTGTTAGAATTCGTTTGAGCTAAGTTTGCGGATGTTTCACGAGATTCATTCTTTATTTCCCTATTATTATTTTATTTTTTTTTAAAAAGGATTGTGTTTAAAACAAAAATTCATATTATACCCTCTTTTGACTCTGATTTTTTTCACTTGTTTAAATGTCGGTAGATATTCGTACTCATCTTCGTAAGAATAATGCAAATACCTTGATACGAAATGATCGTTTTTCGTTTTTTCAGTATTGGCGTCAAATTTTGTGCCTTCGACGCTTGATTCTCGAACCCCAGCTTCCTTAAGCTTAGCTACTAATATGTAATCTCCTGAGTCCTGGACGCGGTATATAACGTATAAGCCTGTCTCGTCGACGTTGAAATCGAAATAATTGTATTCACCGCTAAATAAATAACTTTCGCTTTTGTAAGTGGCCAAGGGTAGGTCTATGGTTTCTTCCAATTTTTCATTCTTAAAATCGTATCTACCTACGGTGGGTGAATCGTCCAAATGATAATACAAACTACCACTCATCACCTGGTGACTATTACCTTCATAAGATACCGGTAAGATATACGTTTTACTGATATTATCGGCTTTGAACGCCTCTTCATTCGCATATTCAAATACCTTTTTTAAGAAAATATATATTATTTGAAAATACGCTGAGAATATCTATATTTTCATCTTTTTCATTAATCTAACTGAATGGAATATCATATATAATATTTTTTAATTTATAGGATGATTAACACTCATAATAGTGAAAAAGTGGACTGTATGGAAATAAACTTTTTTTTCTTTCTTCCTATCCTTCCATAAAGAAATTTTTTTTAAAATATAACAACTGCAATAACTTCACAAGCTCTATTTGAAAGGTTATTTAGTTTTGGCATAATGTTAAATGCTCCGAAACGGAATTAGTATTATAATGCTTGAAATTTTATCAATTATTGTAAATAATCATTATTATTATAAAATCAAAGACCTGCCGAGGTACCATTAGCAGGCTCCGGTCCACATTTTTTAAAAATATTTTCGGCCCAGCCCGGATTTTTTAAAAATTATATATTATATTTATTTTCAATTTTTATAGTTAATTATATCATTTAAAATATTTGATTTTAAAATATACGGTCAGGTCCGGCTTGGGTATTTTTTAAAAAACATTTTTACGCCCAGCCCGAGTATTTTGTTAAAAAATTTTAGGCCCAGCCTCTGTATATTTAAATAAATTAAAATATAGCCCGGCCTGTGTACCCGGGTCAGGATTTGGGGCTGGCTGAAGGTCTCTGATTTATATATATTAAAATTTTAAATAAATTAATCTCTTTCCTCTAATTTTAGTTTAAAATATAATAAATTATAAATGCTTAATAATTTAGTAGATAAAGATCATTTTATAAAAAGTATCTTGTATTTAAGATACTATCATTTAACAAAAGATACAAATATCTTATATCTTCCATCTTTTTGATATTTCTAGTTAAAAAACATTATTAACCCAATCTTTTACAAAAATAAATTAATAGAGTTTCCTATAATAGAAGCTAAACTAGTTTCTTTATCTAAGATACCTTTTTTTACAAAGAATCTGTATCTAGATTCTTTTTTGAGGACTTGCCCACCCACTACATATTTATTTTTACTGCTAAAATATTAATTCCATAGCGAAAAAATTGGATATTAAATTGATCATCCGAAAAAAACACTCATATATAAGCCTAATCCAAAATAGTGGATTTAAAATAATATTTAAAATGTATGAAAAAAATTTGGTTATAATTTTTTTAAATTTTTAAACAAAAATATATATACCTCTTTTCCATCAAAATGTTTGGTCATCCATATTTTCTGATTATCGAGTGGAGTTAGTGGAAAGGGATCCCTCATCCAAGTGCCCCAATAAGTTCCTGTATATCTCATAAATACTGGTTTTCCAACTGCTTTTAATAAGCAATCTAATCGGTTATCATTGAAAAAATAAATGATATATTTAATTTATTATATATATAGTTCATCGGTTTACTCTGGATCCTAGGAGGTATCGTTGATCTAAAATACGGAATATCTATCATTTTCGCTGTAGGTTTTTTAACTAAAAATATTTTTTTGTAAAATTACAAATTTAGCTGGTAATAAATTTAAAATTATGGCATCTGAACTCTTTGATTGATTAATCATTTCAAATCACTATTATTAGTAAAGGTCGGGCAAATTATATAGATCAAAAATAATGCATTAGGATATAAATACATACAAATATAATTTAGTATTATATATATAAATCTTTAAAATCAATGGGTATCAAAAACTTTGGCGAATATCATTTAGTAGATTTTCATAGTATATTATATACTACTAATATTTACACTTATAATTTATAAATAATATTCTTGTTATAACTATTTTCTAAAAAATCTAACTGGGTTGGGCATATTTTTGAATCTAATACAAATACTTTGACAAATCTTTTTTGGAAGTAAATTTCATACCAACAGAGCTAAGCTTAACACGCATATTTAAAAAAAAAATGTTTATAACTAGGAAATTACAGGGAAATAACCCAGTATACATTTTAACATTAAGTAATATAAAATATTATCTATAGTGAAGAACACAATTCTTAGAATGAGTTAATGATTCTTACACGCAGATAAATAGGATGCTAATTTATAAAAGGTTATTAAATAAATATGTATAATTTTTATTTAGGATAGGAATGACTTGAATATAGAATATGGAGACTCTTCCAGATATTTTTGATAAAATATTTTATGAACATCGTAATTTCTTAATTAAAAAGATACTATGTGGAACTTGAATAGATATTATCTAGTTCTATATTACCTGCTTGGAAAAGTTTTATTTAGTTTTGAATTTTACATAGTATAATTCAATTTATAATAATAAAATTAAAAGTGTTTGTTTCGCATTTAATGACCGTGTCCTAGGTTGACTTATTACTAAATAACAAAATAAGCAAAAGAAAATTTTTTTTAAAAAAAATTTAAAAAACGAGAATAAATTCGAAAAATAATGCTACCAAAATAGGGTTTCCCTAACCCTATGAATTTCAGATAAGATCATAAAAACTTTTGAACCATTTATAAATTTATAAACAGGCAATAACGCCAATTGACTAAAATCTAATATAACCTAATACAAATGATGAATAATATACAAGTTTAATCTCGGTAATGAATTAATAAACTAAATTCATCAGATATAATCCATAATACTATTTTTAGGAAATAATTTATTGTAAAAAAATTTTTTATCACAAATTCTACCTAGGGGAGTGTAGAAGGTGAAAAAAAATTTGGAGAGGATTATGTGACTTCCTATTTACGGCCCTAATTTTAACTATATATCGTGAACTTCTGTAATTAATAAATAATTATCTCGCAAAATAAATAATATACCAAAGGGAATCGTAATGACTGGCGATTGCTCCACGACTAAGCCTATTTTTTTAAAAAAACATGATTTAAGATTGGTTTAATAATTATTAAATTTATTACCGGGTACTCCAGATATACCTCTAGGACCTGGCGGACCTTGAGGCCCCATTTCACCTTTCTTACCTACGAATAATTGAAATTAAAACAGTTGTTTGATTTTAGATTTACCTGGAGGTCCCATTTCACCTTTATAAAATTATAATTAAATATATAGATATGTTATAATTTTAAAAATAATATAATAAGTGATAATATATATACCTTTTTCCCCCGGCTCACCCTGGAAACCAGGTTTGCCTCTTCTTCCGGGAAACCCATTTAATCCGTGTAACCCTATTAAGAATTAGAACAAAACAAAAAAAGAATGATTAAATATCAAAATACACACTATGAATTATATCGCCCGGCTCTAATCAGCCTGTTAATACTTTCTTTTTTTATAAGAATTGTTTTCCAAATATGTTAAATGAAATAATCATAAATTTCAATTCTAAATTTTAAAAAAAAATTTATAAAAAATTCCGTATAAAAATATTTTACACGAGTTTGTCCAGAGTAAATTTCCCTTTTTTTAAATGGCAATTTATTAAAGGTTTTTTTTAGGTTGGTGTAAGTTTTTTTCTCTCTAAAGTTATAGAATAATGTTTGTTTTTGTGAATTATTGATATTTATTGAAAGTTGTGAGTAATAACTTCTTTGTTAACCGGCTAAAAAAGAAGGCTAAACTTAGTTTTAGGACAAAAACTACCTCAATCTGATTGGTAAAATTTCGACGTCACGTGCCCATATAAGCCCATTTAGCCGATTTTTAGCCATTATACAAAACTATAATAGTTAATTTCACTTATATTTTTTAATTATAAAATTCTTAATATATTTATATATATCAAATTTGAAGTATTAAAATTGATTTGAGACTTATTTATTTTTTATATAATAATATGGAAATTCAATGATTGATAAATTATTATTTTTGAGATAGTTCGATTAACTTTAATTTTGTTATCTTTGTCAATAAATTTGTATTAATTGATAAAATTTCCTATAATATTTATATAGAAAAAAATGATATAGTAAATATATTTGTATATTCTTTTACCATCTTGTCCTCTTTCCCCTTTGTCACCTGTATATATATTTGTTTTTATATGTACATTTAAAAATTTATTTTCATAATTGAAAATAAAACCTTAAAAAAAAAATTCATAATGAAATTTTTATTAAAACTACAAAAATTTTAATTTGAAAAGTATTAAAAAAATGTTTTATTTTTCAGTGTCGCTGAGTTTAAACGCTAAATAATGGTCGAAACTAAATTCTCGGAAGATGGAAGCTCACGATTCTAAGTCCCTCCAAAATCTCATCTATAAGGAAAATTCAAATGTTAATAAGAAGGGTTCCATGGAAAACTTTTATCGCGAATGTTTATTTATAAAGTATGAATGAAACTTTTATCGCTAATCCACATTTGCTAATACTATTCCTGAAGACAATATCGCAATATTTATCTCAAATTTTTTCTAGCAAAACTCTTATCGCGATTTACAGAGCGAATAAATTTGAGCAAAATTTTAATCTCGAAAATTATGGAGTGAAGTTATTATCGTGAAACTAAAATCGTGAAATCCTAAATAAATTAAATAATGATACATACAAACTAGAGGTCTGCAAGACCCTACCCGAGATAGTTTGCACAAGTTGCCCGCCCCAACTCGTTAAATTTTTTATCCGGGCCGGCTAGTTAAAATTTTTAAAAATTTGAACCGCCCTTTAATCATTTAGCAAAATCAGGCTTGGCTCGTTAAAATTTACTAAAGTTCGCCACGACCCAAATTTTTATGAACGAATTTTCCTGCACATCTTTAAAATCCATATCTAATCCCCCCCCCCCCCCTATCAATTAAAGCTCTTATATGTTATATCTATCCTCTATATAGCTATCTATTTTTAGTTTTACAACAAGTGTTTTATAAATAATTGTGTTTGATTCTTTAATGTGAATTTTTTTTTGAATCATATAATAAATAACTTGTTTAATTTATTGTTACTATAATATTATGTATTGATTTAGTATTTTGGTTAGACAGCTCTTAAAATTCAAAGATAATTAAATATATTGGCTTGAAATTCATAAAAAAATATATACAGCTGGTCATATTATTCATATATTTATTTTCAAGAAAATGCTGATCTGTATTTATCCCAATTTATTAGAATAAAAATGAAAAGTGTTCACAAATTGAGCATAAGCGTTTAGTGATATGTTTTTCCTAAAAAAAACGATGTTATTTAAATTGAACTAGCATTAAAGAATTAAATCATTCAAAATCAAAAAAGAAAACTAATGCACTTATAAATTGGAAATCAACTGATCTATTTCCAAAATTTTCCAAGCCCTCTTTTTCTTCAAAAACAGTTAACATAACACGCATTAGATTCTCGTAGCTCCAATAAAAAAAACCAATTTTTTAGAGATATAGGAGATTTTTTTTTAAAAAAATAATAATATTTAATATTTACACAAAAAATCTGTTTGGAAAATCGTCTATGGTTTTTAAAAATTAATCTGAGAAAATCAGTAATAATTTTAAATTTGATTTGATTCAATTACGGAAAAAATTCTAAGCATTTCAGAATATTTGATAAAATTTTACTTATAATTGCATAAAGCTCATTTTCAAAATTTATGTTGGGGAGGGGAGAGGCGAATTCATTGAGATAAAAAAAATTTAACCCAAATTCTCATGATAAATGTCACATGCTTACTTAATAGACAATAAGTAATAAAAGATACTACTTTGCGTTTATGATTTATAAAACTTAATGAGTAAATTTGTTATTTAAATGCATTCGCAATATATTTATAATTCCTCGGTAATGTACTCAATTACATCGTGCAAATATATTCGCAATAAAAAATTCTCCAAAAGGATTCGCGCAATAGGTTCTCAATATTGTCTTCGCTATAAATGTTGCACGGAAAAAAATTCCCAGAATTTGATTCGCGATTATATTACCTTCGCTCTAAAATTCCTTCGCGACAAACGCCATTAGCGGTAAATGTTTCGCGAAAATGTGTTTTATAGTAAAAATCTAGCCGCATTGACCTGATATACGAATAAGAAGCGAAGCAATAGAACGAACATATATAGAGAGGGGTATTTTCAATATAAAAAAACTATCAGAAAAGGGAAGGAGAGAAATTTTTAAAGGAGGAGGAAAATAATTTGGAAACAATAGGGCCATCCCTAAAAAGGCGAATTTACATGCCTTTTCTCTTAGAAGTAGGCACCCTTGTAAAAAATCTGGTGCAATATGCTTTTACACCCTCTACTCCCCGTTTACGTAGATATCGAGGTTTATTAGTGAATAAAATTAAAATGGTAAAAAAATTTAAAAAAGGAGCAAAATTGGAACATTAAAAAAAAATATCAATAGAAAAAGCGCCTAGTTTTTGAATGAAATAAGAGGAGATTTTAATATTAGCTAAAAACATAAATGAAAAAATTGAGCTCTTAATAATATAGCATATTTTGACTAATAACAAGTCAATGATTTCGTATGATGATCACTTGAATTTCAAAACTATATCTTTTTTCTAGTATTGTTAAAATTAAAGAATTTAATTTTTTTTTATCATGCTAAATATCTAAAAAGTTTAGGAATATAATTTTGACCCAGAAATGATTATGGATAAACAAATATATAAAAGAGTTAAATTGTTTTTAAACCTTTAATTCCAGTTGCTCCATCTGGACCTAGGGGGCCTGGTGGTCCAGGCTCACCTGGCCATCCTGGCACTCCATCTTTTCCATTCATGCCAGGCAGCCCCATCATCCCGGCCTCCCCTGGCCTACCTGGTAATCCGTCTTTGCCTTCTCTACCTGGTTCCCCTATATCACCTTTTAATTTTTTTTTTACAATTGATATATTAAATTGTAACTATCACAAGGATATTTTAGTAATAAATTTTTTAGGGTGATACTGTTGAAACTTAAAATGCAAGGAAAATGTGTAATTTAATTTTAAAATAAATAAAATAAATTCTTATTCGCGGATTTTTTTGATATATAAAGTCCATTCATTCATATACCATTTTAAATTTAATTTTAAAACTCGGAATCAACTATAAATATTATTTAATAGTATTTACTATTTACTATACAACATTGATTAAGTATATTATGGTTTTGTGTTACGTTTTAACCCGTTACTGGTTAACGGTGCATATATGCACCACCTCCTATATACCTTATTTTAACATAGTAGTTTTTATTTTAAAAAATAATAAAAAAGATTTTTATATAGTTCAGACATTGTACTTCAAAACTGGAAAAGAAAAATATGAAAAAAATATTTTTTTATGTCCCTAAGAAACCCTCAAACTTTGCGAATTTATGAGGTCTAAAATGCAAAATTTTCTAAGTGATCTCACAAGCATTTTATAAAATTATTTCGATGAAAACTAGTGTGTATATATTCTTTATAGATATATCAATATGAATTTTTAAATAATTAAAATTTTAATAGGTAACCATATAAAGTTGACTGGTGCATATATGCACCGTTAACCATCTAGCAGTATAAATTATTTAAAAAATTCAAACAAATGAAATTTAACATAATGAATTATAATTTTTTATATTGAAATCACTACCGTCACTAAGGGTGGGGGGAGGAGGGGTGGGTGGCTCGAGCCCCCTAAGAATTTTTTTTAAAAAATTTTATACCCAAAAAAAGACCTTTTGAAAATAATTTAAAAATTTTTTTTAGCCCCCTGAGATTAAATCGAATAATATATTGTTCCTATTATAATTTTTTATCCCGATCAAATTATATGAAATTATTAGGTTCATAAATATTCAAAAGTTTAAAATTATTTTTAGCCTCTTCCTTTCTGAAGATTTTATTTTATTTATATAAAATATTATGCACCTGTTTTGTCAATTCAATCAAAATTATCAAAATAATAGATGACTAATAAAAAAATCAAGATTCTACGAAAATAATTTGTCTAAATATTTAATTTTTAATAAATTTTTTTAATGAAACGTTTTCTAACAATTGAACAAACGCTTGCTCAACTTTTTGAAGAGGAATCAATTGAAGAAAGAGATATGGTTATAATTCCGCCAAACCCCTCTGCAGTTAGTGATGAAGAAGATTTCGATGAAAATGACTTAACAAATGTCGGAGTTTTGCCTTCAGATACAGCTGGAGAATTGGAGATTCATAATTCAGTTGATGACGACCTTCCAGAACCATATTCTACAAGAAGCTATTCTCAAATTTCTCACAATTTAAAATGGAGAAAAACGGATGCAATATATTCTTTAAGTCCTTTCAATGGATAAAAGGAAGATGTAATAAAACTTGAAAATGATTTACATGGTAAAAGTCCATCAGATATATTTTCTTTAATTTTCGACGAAGACTTATATTCACTAATTGTAAAACAAAGTGATATTTATGCTAAACAAATGAATAGACCTAACATTTGCATAACCATCCAAGATATTCAGAGATTTATTGGAATTCTATTATTTACTGGATATCATTCTCTCCCACAAGAAAGAATGTACTGGTCTAATGATAGCGATATTTCTATTCCAATAATCCGGGATACAATGACCCAATTACAATTTCGAAATTTGAAATATAATATCCATTTGGCAGACAATACTAAAATAGATATACATGATAGATTTTATAAAGTTAGGCCTTACATTAATATATTGAATAATAAATTTCAGCAATTCGGAATTTTCAAACATCATTTATCAATAGATGAACAGATGATACCATATCGAGGAAGACATTCTTGCAAAATGTTCATAAAAGGAAAACCAATTAGATTCGGATACAAGTCTTGGATATTGGCTTCTTCCGACGGTTGCGTATTCTCATTTGATATATATCAAGGAAAAAGCGAAAATAAATATGAATATGGATTAGGTGGAAATGTAATCATAAAATTATTAAAGGCATTGCAAAAACCAAATTATCATAAAATATATTTTGATAATTTCTTTACATCATTTAAACTCTTGTCATACTTAAAACAAATGGGATATTTTGCAACTGGAACTGTGAGGGACAATAGAATAGAGCATTGCCCAGTTGAATCTATAAAGGTTGTAGCAAAAAAGATAGAGGATATTATGATTATAGGTTTGAAAAATTAAACGAAATATTTGTAGTTCGTTGGAATGATAATTCGATGGTGACCGTTGCATCGACATGCCACACTATCTCTTTGCTTTCTAATGTTTCAAGGTATTCTAAGAAAATATCTTCTAAAATAAAAATTCCTAAGCCAAATATGGTAACTGCTTATAACAAACACATGGGTGGAGTTGATCTATGTGATAATCTAATATCTACATATAGAATAAAAATAAGAGGAAAAAAATGGTGGTGGCCAATATTCACCAATTTTATTGATGTAGCTTTGGTAAATTCATGGAAAATCTGGAAATTCGCGAATCGAGATGACAAGAAGAGTTTCTTGCATTTAGACGAGAAGTTACTAATTACCTCCTTCGAACGCCAGTAAAAATAGAAAAAAATTCAAGTACAGGTCACGCCAGCCAGTTTGCATTACAGTGTGAAAACCCTATTGATTCATCTGGACATTATTTATCCAAAATTATAGATGGAAAAAGACGAAGATGCAGATATTGCCATACGCACTCAAGATATATGTGCCAAACATGTCAAATCGCACTCCATATTAAATGTTTCAAGGATTTTCATAATATATAAACATTTTCTCGTTTTTATTATAAATTACAAAAAAAGAATAAAGATATTTGTTGTTTTTTGATCTTATAGTATTTTATATAATTTTTATCTTTTTTAACCTCTTAATGGTTAACGGTGCATATATGCACCAGGCTAGATTTATATTTAGGATTATTTTTTTTGGCTGATTTTTTTAGAATATCATATTTGAGCATTAATCAATATAATTTAAAAAAATTGAGCATTTTTATCCACTAGAAAAATCTTGACCATTAATGGTATTAAACAAAGTTATATTTTTATTTTAAACTGAAAATATTATATTTTTCTTATAAAATAATTTGATTAAAAAAAATGAATAACAATTTTTACCATTTAAATATTATATACCTTTGAACCCTTTTCTACCTGGCTCCCCATTTACGCCAGGAATTCCCGGAAAGCCAATTTCTCCTCTGCCTCCCTTTTCGCCTTGTTCACCCTTTTCACCTTTATCCGTAAAAAATAAATTTTTTAATTAATTTTTGGTATTATTATATCCAAGTTTATCTTTATAAATTTAAAGAAATAATCTTTCAATATTTAATTTATTGTATTATTTATTAACTTATAGTTTTTCATCCATAATAAAATGATAATTAGTCATAAAGTTAAATATTTTTTTAAAATTAATGAGCTTATATTTTTTTTTCTATAAGTAACATATAAATCTACCATCTATTCCAGGAATTCCTCTATATCCCTTTTCCCCCATTGACCCAGGTGAACCTCTATCACCTTTGATTCCTAAAAATAAACGATATATTTGGGTAAAAATTTTAAAAATATTTGTGATTTTAGTTTGCAAAAGAAACTACAAAATAATACCTACTTGTCATAATATCCAGTTTAATATAGGTGAGCACTCTATTAGAGATCGGCGGAGGTAAAAGCCTTCCTCGCAGGATCACAATATAAGGATTTTGATTCAATGTGAATTCAGAATTCATAAATTAAACTTATCTCATTTTTTTGCTAATACTAGACAAATAATTATAATAAAAAAATTTTCTTTTAGTATCAAAAAAAATTTAATTACAAGAATTTAAAATACCTTGAGGGCCAATAGGTCCAGGAATTCCGGGTGGACAATATTCTATAGCGGCTCGGCAAAAACTTTTTAACGTTGACAACTGTAGATATTTTATGAATAGAAATTATATTCTTTTAAAATTTAATTTATAAATATGAGTATCCATAGGGGAGATTTAAGGTTTAGAACTACCCCTTGGTGAATATTCATATTTAGGATAAATCTTAGAATTATAAACGTCTTCTAATTCAACCTTGAAGACTTTGACAGAATAATTTTTTTTAATCTCATTCAAAATTAGCTTTTAAAATTTCAATGAATATACCAAATATATAAGTTTTATAAAATATTCAATTGCGTGAAAGAAAACAGGGTGAGTAAAAAAAATATCCATCCATTTTTTTCTGAAAGAACTTGAATTATTATTAAATTATAGCCATTTACCTTGAATATCATATCAAACCTAAAACCCATCTTTTCAAACTTTAAGAGTAGGGGAGACCAGGGCTAGTCCGCGCAAGGGGCTTGTCGGTTCAAAGGATTTTATTTTAAAACCAGTAAAAAATTGAAATTTTATTCTAAAATAGAATTCTATAATATCCATAATTGGGGATGAAAATAATTTATAATATTTAGCTATTTAAATTTTTATCCTTTATGACATGTTTTTGACGTAAAAATTACAATATTTTCACTTAATATTATTAGGTTGTATTAAAAAATTAAAAGTTTAAACATGACAAAATGAACATTATATGAAAGTTAAATATCTATTTTAATATTTGGGAAAGTTTCAGATTGATATATAATGCTTAAATATAAGTTAAGATCAAATTAGTAATATCCACCATTGAGGTTAGTAGAATCGTGGCTAGTCGGCGCAATCAGTCAATTTTTATTATATTATTATGGTACTCAAATATATATGTGAAATTCAAAATAGTAAAATTTTTACTAAAAAAATATTATGAAGAAACTATAAAACTGTACGAAAATGATATCTCATTAAGAAAAATACCATTTATTACATTAAAATATAATATTTTATAAATGTAATATATTAAATAATAATTATTATATAAATTTATTAATGTGATTGATTTTTCATAATACATTTCAATTTTATTATAATATCAGACCTAAATAAATATCTTTCAAACTAAAATCTTCATATACATATTGTGATAATATATTATATATTGTCACAGATATTATATATATTGTATATATAAATTTTAGCCTGATAATAAGATCAATTATTTAAATTAATTATATCTAGCAAACAAATATAATATATATATTTTAATTGACAATATAATACGATTCAAATTAATACATATTAGATATGAACATTTTAGCATATAAATTTTAGCCTGATAATAATATCAATATATTTAAAATGAATTATATCTAACAAACAAATATTTATATATATCTATTTTAATTGACAATATATTATGATTCAAATTAATTCATTTTATTGGATATGGACATTTTAGTTATCAGATTATATTTAGCCTGATTTGGTTTCAATGTAGAGTGGTTCTCTGTCAAAAAAGATTATTATTTTATTTGTTATAATTGTAAATATTATATAAATAAAGTATCATAGTTATATATTAAAATCTGTAAAAAAAAATTTTTTTGTCCCATAAGAAGCCTAATAAACCGCTTGATTCGACTAGTCCCATCGATGATTCGACTAACCACGGGTCCGGGGCTACTAGGTTCAAGACTTTTACTAAAACCTAGAGAAATAATTATTAAATATTTTATATTTATAGGTAGATGTTTAAGGTATCTATTGGTATTTTGTAAGATCTTATATGATCATTATTTTCGGAGCTATGATGATTTTGACAAAAATTGTGCCGACTAGCCCTGGTCTCCCCTACAGTAAAACTATGTATTAGTTAACTCTAGAAGAATCAGAAATTTAGTTTACTTTATTGAACATTAAGTATAGTATATCAGATTACCCCCTTAGCCCTAACCTGAATCTTTTACACAAACCTATGAATATAGTTTGTTCTTTTTTGCTTCTCATTTGTTTTTGTAAAATTTTATAACACCCCCATTTTCTGTAGAAGTTAGGTTAAGGACTCCCTAACAGTTTTCAGAAAAAAAATTTTTTGTTTAGTAAATAAAAAAAACAAGTCAGAATATAACATATATTGGAATATGGAATCAATCGGGATTCAGAATTTCTCAATTTTTATCATTTACTGAAAACGATTTGTAATTTTTTTAAAAAAACTGCTTTAACCGACAAAAGGTATTCCAACATGTATAGAAAAAGGTGTATATATATATTATTACTAGATTGGCTATTCATTGATTAATGTTCATACATAGGAGTCATCTGGAGGGTCATTTTGTGATTTGTGCTTGAACAATTGTCTTTATTTATCATATGAATGCCTATGAATGTCATTTAATGACAAACCACAAAATAATGCTACGCTCATATGTATGGACGGACATTTATGAATACATTTAATAAATGAATAATTTGGTAGTATATATACAATAATGGTATAGAGAATAAATACAAACTGTGAATTTCAGAAAAATATTTCCCGTGAACTTTTGAAAGTATATTCCTCTTAATTTATTCTAACTTTTTTTTAAAGATGTACTGATAAAAAAAAAATTAATTCTCGTGACGAACATTCCCGAAAATTCGTAGGATAGATACTCTACCCAATCTAATATTGGAATACATTCCGTTTCAAATTATATATCGCCCCCCTTAAATTATTTAAGTAGACTCCTAATCACAGGTGGTTTCGCATAACCCAAAACGACTTATTAATATAATAATTTTGGCGAGTGAGATTACTGATTTGATCAAAATCAAATAAGTAAATCAAAATTTATTAAATCTCTATGGCCGAGTCTAGTAAATAGCCAAAAAAGCAAAATAAACAAAGAAAATAAAAAAAATCATAACTAAAAAAACAAAGAGAAATGAAAAAAAAATTAAAAAAACGAGAATAAAATACCACTTAAGTCCCCAGGACACGGCCTAAGAGCTTAAATCTACAATATACTGATTTCAAAAAAAATTTCCATTATTAAATAAAAACTATTTAAAAAGAAATTAGTGTGATAAAAAATGGCTTAGCCCTACTTTCCCCTCTTCGAACACACATCTTATCCACATTTATAATATTCAATTTTGTTTTTTCTTGGTATGAATAGTTATACAATAAATTGTCCTTCCAAATATTTTAATATAATTGTTGCTTTAATAGGGTTCATATATCATGATAATAATGTTACATGGTTACACAAGATAAACTCTCTGAATAAAATACTTCATTGTGATCATTGAAATTATCTTAGATTTGACAAAAAACAGATTATTCTTATCTATTATCCTAGTTGCCAGTTTAAAATTAAAAATTTTAATTATTTTAATATAATATGCTTAACCATGATTAAATACTCCATTAAATCAATAATATTTTATGCCGGAAAAAAATAGGGCTTTAAACTAATTATTGATTCTTAGTGCGATTCAAATCAGTGTAAAAATAAAATTATCAAGAGTCACCGGCATCCTTGAATAAGAAGATATCCATATCCAATCATTGTGGGGGACCTCCAAATCATCATTTCCTTCTATCCTGTGCGATTTGGGCTTTTTAGGTTTGTAATATACGTAATTTTGCATCACTCGGCCATCCCTATCGGTTTTAACTGGATAATTAAGGTGTGAGTTCAAGTGCGGGTAATGAGTGGGTGATGTTAAATCATCATAATGGTTTTCTCTGATACGATTGTTTTCGATATCTTTCGAATAACTAGGGGATAGTGAATCTTTAATTTGTGACGGATAATAGTCGAAATAAGTAGGGTTCCATTTGGCTCCCCATTTAATTTTGGTATTATTATCGCTTGTTTCATAGCTTTGGCGATTTTTCCTACTATTTTTACGCCCCCTTTTGCCTTTTTTGTGATTTCCAGGTTCATTCATCGAATAGTCAATCTCATCATGTTTATGGGATTCACGTAATTTGTGTTCTCCTATCGATCTGATACGTCTAAATAATATGTCGCTCTCTTTATTTTCGGCGTTGGAGTTCAATCTTGAATCAAGATGACCCAGGCGAGGTAGCTTTTTAAAATTATTTGTTTTATGAATGTCTGGCGGAAAGTTAATAAAATTTATGTTGCTCAGTATTCTATATTCGATCTCTTTGAGTCGCCTTTCGTGGAGTAGGGAAAAGGTGAGACTCGTAACGGATATTATGAGTGTCGACGAAATTAATAAGATCAAGCGAATATGTTGAAAAACTTCTTTTCTATTTACCGAAGAATGGTTATTTGCATCTATCAAGACTCTTTCTTGTCCCGTGTATTTATTCTTGAAAAGTATAATAAGGTCATCGTAAAACATTCTTTATATATATATTATTATTATAATAGTATTATAATTTGACTTATATTTCAATCTATAAATGCGAATTTTTATTTTTCATTATTATTATAATTTTGTATATAAGTAGTAAATGTCGAAAAATTATGCAAAATGTAACATAGATATTAATTTATTATATGGGCAAAAAAAAAGTTATGTTCTTTACACACAAAAAAAAATTATTTAAAATTAGTATATATTTACACTTTATATTTTTACATTAGTTTTGCCCGTTATTGATCTTTTATATAAAAATTGAATTAAAATAATAATATAATATAATATACATTAAATCGAAACAGGATAATTAATTTTAAATTAAAGTAAGAACTTTTTTAATTCGAGCATTAGACACATAAATATTATTTTATCAGAAACAACATTTGCACAAATTGTGCTTACTAAGATTGCAAATGTTTCTAATTAGACAGATTGTTTTGAATTTAGTAGTATTTTTTATTTAAAAAAATTAAATTAAGATTTATACAGAGATTATGCATGGTTTCATAAATAAAGAAAAAATTTGCATTTATTTATGCTGGAATTGGATCAATTCACATTTTTTTTCAATTAAATATATATATGTTTCTTCTTTTTACAAATATACTAACATGAAAAGTTATAATAATGTATATATTTATGGTTGTTTAGATTGGTATATTTATTAAATAACTTTATATAACTAAGATTTTATAATAACGATTTAAGTAATTGGATATTATTAGCAGCCCTCTAAAAAGTATTTAATATTTATAGTTATATAATTTTTTATTATAATATTTATAACTTAAATATAAAAAAAAGTAAAATTTTATATTATATTTATATTATAAATATTTTATCACGGTAAACCTATCTAACACCAAAAAAATAATTTCATACTAACTTATAGTAATTATTGGGTCATTTATCTTTTTTTATACATAATATATTTGGGCAATTATATTATAATTAGAGATTTCTATTTATGATAAGAAATTAACAATCATATTTTATTTTTTTAAATTATCTATATTATTTAAGATTAAGCCTATAAAAGGTCAAGCAACACATAGTAATTATAATGTATAAGCATTTTTTTAAAATAATTTATATAAGTTTGTGTAGAGTGAAACGTCGTGGGTTTAATTATACTAATTGAAAATTTTGATTCTTCGACACGTTTGTTTATACAATATACTATGAATTACTATTAATAATAAAAAATTCTATTTTTATAATTAATTTAATTATATAAAGTGATTTCATTAATTATAGCCTTCTGTAAGTCAAACTAATGACCATAATAATATTTGAGCAAAAAGTTTCTGTAATATAACAATTTAATTATATACTAACCATCTTTTTATTTAATCATTCAAAAATATCAAAAAAAATATTCAGAACTCTCAATTGATTTCCTGCGTTAAGAATTGATTGCATTTTTTTTATCAAAAGAACAATAATTAAAAGTGTGTGTTTGTATAATTAAGTATATACAATCAAATGAAAATATTGTTATGATCGCCATTTTCCTTCTATCATGGGTACAATCTAGATTTTATACTACCATCCATTAGTGCTCTCTCAAGCTTCCTTTCGTTGAGATTATCTTTTTCGTCAACAAGTTTGGATTTTATCAAGTTCCCTACCTTTTAGACATTATCATTAAATTAGTCCGATGGGACACAAGCCCTTTTCTTCCTTCCAATTCTGTTCAAAAACTATTTTATGAATCCCTCCAAAGAAAAGGCTAATTAGATTTAACCGTGGTTCATCCATACTTCTAAAAATTACCACAAATAGTTTGATGCACTACTCATTAGCCATTTAGATCTTTAAACTCGGCGATGATTGGTTCAAAGTGACAGTCTGACTTTGATTAAATTTTAAAATGGTAAATTGCAGGGGTGTAATAAAAAGTATAGCCAACTTTTAAATGAGAATATCAATCATTCATTGTCAATTTTACACCTGAAGCGTTTCCATTTCCCAAACAACCCCCCTTCATATTTTTCTTCCAGCCCATAAATATCAGGTGATGCTACACTTACCTATTGGGATAGCAAAACCCCAGTGGTACAACATCTTTTCGGAGCTATTCAGATAGTAAATTTTTCGATTCATCTAAACGAATTAAATATTAATAGCAATTCATTTTTCATGGCTGTTTTAGAATAGGCCTATCGCACAATTAATGCAAATAAATATGGAGATATTATTAAACTAATCTAAGACCTGCAGGCCCGTATTTTAAATTTTTTCAAATATATCCGGGCTGGGCCGGGCCTGAAAATCTTTTTAAAAAAATATCCGGGCCGGGCCGTATATTTTAAAATCAAATATTTGAAATCGCCAATATTAGCTATAAAAATCAAAAATAAATAAAATATATTTTAAAAAAATCCGAGCCGGGCCGAAAATAATTTTTGAAAAAAAATCTGGGCCGGGTCGGGCCGTACAAATGGTATCTATGCAGGTCTCTGAAAATAATGTTGGTATTTTAAAAAAATATTTTTCCCCACGATATTTTTAGGTTGTTGCTATTATATTGAGTTTGGGACATTCCATGCTCAATGTCTATCATAACTAAATTAATTAAGCTTCTATGGGATAGACTGTGCTCGGACCTCGACAAAAGTTTATTTTTTTCCTAATGTTTTTTTATGAATAGTTTTATTCAATAACAACGAAATTGTTTATTATCCCTCAGTGTTTATATTTTTTTCTAATTTCGTTGAAATATGATTTTTTTTTTAATTCTATTGGATAAGGACTCAGACTAAATATGATTGGTGGTACCAAATTTTTAATTTTTACTCGGATCAGGCCGATCCTGAAAAAATTAGTTTAATACAGGTTCTTTCCGATACAATTGTTTATTTAATGATAATATCAACGATCTTTTGCTCTATTTCGTCGCTTTTGTCCAATCTATATTGTTATTTTCTCAAGGGAGGGGGGAGAGGTGTATATTTTAAATCTTACCGCGCCAAAATTACCTGACATTAACCAATATTTAGCATTCAAAAAATATAATAATTCCCCTTTTAACATATGTCAGCTTTTTCCCATCCTGAGAAATATGATCTTGATAATAAAAATAATTATTTAGAAATTCACTCCTTTTCCATAAATCAGGTCGACTTTTCTTTGTTTTGAGATATTATCTTTTGCATTGGGATCCACAAAATAATCCAGGAAATTCAGTTCAAATCTATCCTTACCTTAGATTCCTGGTATCTCGATGATCGCATTGTTGTAGGCAACATTTTCACAATCCTGTTCATCCCTTTCATCCTCTAAGATCTCTCACATATTACAAGACTATTACTCAATCGCCTCAAATGTGAGATTTTCTTCCTAATTCCTACATCCATTCCTTTAGGCACCTCATACAATGACATTAACAAAGATGAGATGACACATCTTGGATCACCGTTAGGAGACGTAAAGGCCATCGAAACTTTTTTAATTTAACAATTTGTCTAAATTAAGCATATTATTTAATTATGCAGGCCATCAATTCGTTTTTTTAATCAAAAATTACTTTAATTTACACAAAATACTATATTCCCTGAGATCCTCACTCTTCAAATGCAGCGATTTGCTAGTTTCTCATGAAACCCAAATCAAGGGTCTCCTCGAAAATGTATTAAACATAAAATTTTCCGATTCATCCTGGCTTCAGACCACCCATCCCCAGCAAGTCAGGTGGTATTGATATCCGATCCCCGTTACAATTTTCTCTTTCAGCCTTTATCTCATCTCGCCTGGCTGCTCAAATTATCATCAATAATGTATCCAATCCTATAGATACTGACCTATCCCAGGCCCTTTTTGGGACAGCAATAACTTGTCCACCCTCAGCCGTCCTGCCTCTAGTATTCAAAAAGACACGGATGCTCATTTGATCACCCGTTCCGTACAATGCCTAATTTCGAACAGGATCACTATTCACTGTATTCTACGGGACATACAATGTCTTTTTAAAATGTTTTCAATTGCTTCTCTAGTAGTAAACTTGGCGCTTCGTCACTGATTTAAATATTTGACAATATATTTTATAAAAACAATTTTTTTAATATAATTTATAATATCATTATCGTTAAGAAAACTATTAAAACACTTTTTTAAAAGGAGGGTTCACATGAATTTAACAAAAAAATTTAGAATATTAAATAATTTCCTACTACATTGAGATCCGAATTATACAATTTTAAAATTATATGTCAAAAATTGAAACAATGAAATATAAAAATAAATCAAGAATTCTTATAAATTTAGTATTTTTCATATAAAAATTATTTAATTAAAAATCTAAATCTTTGTCTTTCCTTATATTAAGTATTTCTATCAAATTTAATAAATAAAAATTTTATTAAAAATATTGAATTATTCAAATTTTATACAATTATTTGAATTTTGAGGATAATTTTGATATAGAAGGGTTGGAATTATTATAATATATAAGTAAATATATGACTTTGTTTTTCTCTGTAAAATCCAAAATATTTATCGATATTTATATATTTTTTTTTTGATTTTTAGAAAAGCCTTAATAAAATAAAATATAATAATTTCATATTAACGTACTATATCTATAATCAATATAAAAATATATTATTTAAAGAAGGGGAATTAAAAAAAAATATTTTTTAAATAAAAAGAAAATTTATTTTTAAGTATGGTCGGCGGGGCTTAATGACCCATCTTTCTAAATCATTTGAATGCCATCCACATCGTATGAGAGTCAGACAGTCTTTATATTATATCCTGTATCTATCATTTATCAATTCATAATTAAATATAAAAAAGGCGCATATAGAAAATCAGATATTTAATCAAAATTTTACTTTAATTTAAGAAATTTAATTTAAAATTAATTTATT